AAAAACATTTGAAAATGAAACCATTAAGATGCAGCTAAATTAGCATTTGCATGTACATTCAGACACTATTTAAAGAAGAAATATTAAAGGAGCCGTGTTATTTGTAAGAGCTTGAAGTCAAAATTCTGTTCTAAAAGAGCTCTATCTGGTTCATCTGGATGAAAGGTGCATCCCTATATTCAACACATAAAACCTTCCAGATGAGTCATTAATAGGGCTTTTACACTTGAGATGACTTCAACATATAAAAAGGAAGAAAATATTACAAGATTTTCTGCCTTTCTACAGCACAAACACGCGACAGCCTAGACAGCAATTTCTGCATTGAGCCCCCAAACAAAATGATGTGGAACTAGACATCATTTACAGGGGCATCCAGCCATGAATGGATTTGAGCTGATGGCAAAACTAAAACAGCACTAGGTAACTCAGAGTAGGCGTTCACTGCCCTGTGTGATGAAAGCACCCACCTGCATATTTTTAGTGGACACTCAGACACATCAATACTGTTGTCTTCATTCCTGGTGGTGGTAGGGACACAGTCAGACAAAGGGAATTCTTCAGTGACTGCATGTCCCTATATAGGCAAAGCATTCAGTCAAGTTGTAGTCATACCTGTTATTCTCTGCTTTGAAACAGCCCTGAGTTACACAGCTGGAGATTTCTGTCTGTCTTCTGGTATTAATTAAGCAACCTTCATTACTCTTCCAGGCTGGGCAACAGTGTCGTTTAGCATCAGTAAATTGAGCAGTTTTAATTTCAAAATCCTTGTGTTTACTCCCTTATTACAGTACTTAACACTTTTCAGTCAGCCAATACACCTTCACACTTTAGAGAGGAATTAGGAATTTACTGAAGGACTGGGTTCACCAGAAAGGAGAGCCACCAGTCTTGTCCTGCTGCACCCCTTCTATCACAGGGAAGGCTGACAACACTGAACCAAATAAGTCCCACACAAATGATTGCCTTGTGGCAGTGGAAGAGAGGGTGCAGAAAAAACCCTCCCAGAGACACAGGCTGTCAGATCAGGGCCAGCACTAGGCACACCAAAGTAGCCCATTATCCAGGACAGCAAAGTACTAGGGAGGCAAAGAATCCATGATCCAGCTGCCTGCTCTGCTGTGCTGGAGCTCTGGAAAACTGCCACTGAGAGAGGGGCCAGGGTGTGTGGAGCAGCAGGTTTGGCAGGGAAGGAGGTGGCTCTTTCCAGCAGCTCAGACACCACTTGCACCCCTCCTGTCTCAGCAACAGCTGAGGCAGGCAGGTGGCTCTCCAGGGCTGCCAGCCCCCAGCAGCTCCCTCTGCTACCAGTGCCCACCGGGGCTGCCACCAGTGACAGACCACACAGTCTGCCTCTACCATGACTCGTTTAGCTGTGCCTGCCTGGCACATCGTGGGATGAGGGAGAGATGCTCAACTGGTGCCAGAATGTTCCTCCTGCTCCAGACTCCCACATCAAACTGTCCATATTAAACCCACTTGAAATACCTGCAGGTCTACACAGCTGCAATCTCAGCTTTCAGTCTGCAGCTCTGCTACTAAAAGCATCCTTATCTTTGATTAGCCCTAACTGGTTAACAGAAGTTACACCTAAAACACCTTTGATACATCTGATACTCTTCATATCCCTCTAAGTCCACTCTCTTTATACAGTAGTCCCATCCACAGCCAGCCCATGCCTTGAAAACACCTCCAGTCCCACCCTCCTAGAGGTAGCAGTGCTCCCTGTTTCCTACACACATCCATGTGTCCAGGTCCACACTGTTCCAGGAACCTCAGTCCCTTTTACAGTTTGTATTAGCATCTTACCCAACATCCCTGAGTTCAGCTGTTCTTGTAAAAATTCATGGCATTTGCTGGTAAATGCCAGTTTTTTACATAAGCAAGTAAAATTTATATACAGTCAAATTTCTGGAGGCTGGATTATGTGTGAGTCAAAATGCATATTTCTAGTGTTGCTGTATGTGCATCACTTTCTGGCTTCACTGTTGCCATCTTTCTCTTTTCCCTACAGACTGCTACTTTGGTCTCCATGAGCTCCAGGGAAGTGTTTGCCTGCAAAGCACGTTCAGGTGAGTGGTGACTCAAGCCATGTGATTTCAAGGTGACATGTGATATACTTGGGAGGGGGTACTCCTGACAAAAGACCTGGCACTCATCTACCTCTGACCATCAGAGATTAATACCTTCTTCAAAAATTCTCTACAAACACTCAGACAGGGGTAGTTAAGGTCCACACATGCTTGAGCTGTTCTCTGTCACAGAATAGTTTGACTGTTACAAGAGAAAAAGTAATACTAAATTTGAATGCATCATTCAAACATATCCCTAGTTTTTTTAATATACCTAAATTACTGGAAAAGTCAGGACTATTTGGTTGACATATCAGTAAATGGTTTCTCAGTACTTTCTTAGAGTATCAATTTTGAAATCAGAAGTATGACTTCAGAAATGCATTCTGTTCTTGAATTCTTCATTAAAGAAAGTAAAAAACAGCATATATGGTTTATAACCACCACATTAAATGAGTGCCCCTTCTGCCTGTCCTAGAAAACATGAAAGTCTCTCTCTCATCCATTGCTATCTTCACTTCTGGTCAAGGATCTTATTTGTTAGGGACGGTTTGATAACCTGGAAACAAGTTAATTTTTCAGGACAGGCACCTTCACTCCTCTTATGAACAAAAGGAGTATCTGGCAAAGAGAACCACACAGTTTTGCCAGGGGTACTGAACACATAGATAAGTCTTTGGGTAACCCAGCTGAGTATCACCTGGCCATACAGGGGGCTCCTTCTCTGCCAAGGATCTTTGTAAAAGCTCAACAATGACATCCATGTACTCTCATATTCACCGGGTAGGTGAAAGGGGAAAACAGTCTTCTCCATACACACGTGCATCTCTTTGCCTAATGGTCCCTTTGGACATTTAATGGTTTTGAAACTACTCCTGACTGGTGAGCAGTTCCACTGAAAACTTTATCCACTTTTTCAATAAAATACTAGCAGCAATTTGCAAAGGATTGCAAGATTCGTCAGCTTGGCAAAGGTCATGACAGACACAGGCCCCAGTATGAATCACATGGACAAGGGGTGGCCTCTTGAAGCACAGAGGAACTTTGATGTAGAGGAGATTGTCATAGGTTCATCTCCTTGAGTGCCAAGGCATAAAATAATCTACAGAAGAGAAATAAATAAAAATGTAACAATTGTTAGAGTTTGGGGTTAAGTAGGATTACTGCTGCAATATTAATTGTAGTCCACTTAGAAGATATACTTCCATCACAGTTGCAAGGTTCAAGTCCCTGGGGCTCTAGTCTTGGGACAAAAAAAGGCAGAGGAGAAGAAGTAGCCTCTTCTCTCTTTTCAAACTATCTCCAACAGCAGCTGCTTTTATTCCGTTGTTCCACACACCCACAGAAAAAGAAACAGGCTTTAGTGAATCTCTGTACCTCCGAGTAGTTTACAAACCAAACTTAACACCACCACTGACAAATACGTCCTTCATACACTTCCATTAACTCTGGAAACAGTCCCAGAGCAACGACCATAGTTCCAAACAGCCCAAAAGGCAGAGCTGAAGTCAGGATCCAAATTTAGAGCTGCATGCTGTGGTTAGGTAATGAAAGAAGAAAGCAGACTTTCTCCTCTCTAGAGCCAAGAAGCTCATGGCCGAGAAGCTCATGCCCAGTGCATGATTTCAGGGAGTGACCTTCTCTTTATAAGGATAAATCACAGTGCCTTCAAAAAATATTGGAAAGCAGAGGATTCACAGATGATGGCCCAATTGTCCCTGGTGTCCCAGGGTCTGCTAGAGCGACCCCAGGGGCAAGCATGAGAAATGTTTGTGGAACACATGAGTTCACAGAGATTGCAGAAGATGCATAAAAAATTGAAGCACCTACTTTCTAAGCTATCTTGTGCCTTGGATATACTGTAACATAACAAACCAATGATACATGTGACTTCTTAAAACAGCATCTAACTAATCCACAGCACAGTTTTATGCCCTTCTCTCAGCTTGCTGTCAATTTTATATTCACATTTTCTATACAGCATCTCTTTCTATTACTCATGACAGCCCCATCAGTCACAAAATCATATTACATATTCAGGAAGACTTTGACAGCTGAAAGAATTCAGCAAAGGACCAGAGAATGCTTAAGTAATCTGTTCATATTTTACCCAGTCCTACAAAGGCTGAAAGATCAACTGATGTTTTGCTGTTGTGAGGTGCCTCCTAAAAATTCTTGGGAGTCCAGGCATAGTCCATGTACTGACACAAAGAGCAGAGAAATTTTGTACTGAAGTCACTGTGTCAATGAGGAAGTACACTGGCACTTTAAGGGAACTTTGGGAAAGCAAATCAAACCTCTGCACTATATAATCTTGTCTCTTCTACCTTTATGCCCTACAGTTATGGATTTTTCTTCACTTACCTGCACAGCAGGCATGAGTGCTGTTGATAAGTATTAGAAGGCACCCAGCCCTGTAAAAGGCATTAATTCTTCTATTACATGAAGGAGTATACAGATAATAGACAGATTTACTAAGCTTTCTCTTCAGCTTTAACCTTCTATTCCGTAACATTTTCACCCTCGTAAAAAAGGTCATGGGCACTATCTGTTATACACTCTAAATCAACCAGTAATACCAAACCAAAATACAACATTCTTCCAGTAACACCTGTCATATGTCATGGAATGACAACCATGAACATATCAAAGCAATGTCCAGGGCATGAGAATAAGCCTTGTAAGGTGATGATGTCAGAATGATCTCTGATAAAAAGTCCTGTATAGTCCCTGTTATCCTAATCAGATGATGGACTATGGCCTCTGAACTAACCAGAACTTTGTCCTCTCTTCTCCTGTTACGTTCTGTTTTATCTGTGTCCAGCTGTAATTCAGATAAAGCTGATGGAGTTGTGGAGGCTACCTGTCTTCTGCTGCTCTGCTGCTGATCCACCGCCTCAGTTGCTATAGAGACCAGCTCAGGAAGCCATGGAGGAGCATGGGAGAGAAGCCACCCACAGGCTCTCCACTGGCGGGCTCTGGCAGGGCCGTTCTCAGCACGTACTGAGAGAGTCAGGTGCGGTCTCTGAGGGTGAGGAAGAGTCAGCAGGCGCTAACCCAGTGACGCACGAGGGGGACTTGCACACACAGTACATTGCTATTCAAAGAAATTCCAGGTACTACCGATCCATGAGGCTGCCAAACAGAGGGAAAAGAAAGACTTCGAGAGAGGCAACGCACATGCAGCATGCTACAGGTGAGTACAGACCCAAACAGCATTATGCTTCTTTTTCCAGTGAGATTAGGAACTAGAGGAGTCAATAGAACAGAAGGACAGGAAGATAGAAAGCAGCTCAGCTGTCAGCATATAACAGAACACCCCTGCCCTACAGCACAGTGGGCAGAGGAGTGCCATCCTTCTTTTTTCAGCTTGGAAATATAAAATGGTTGGTTGTTTAAAGACATTTCATGACAGAGAATCTAAACATATGTGGGACTCTGCACTGCACCCCTCTGCTCTGTAGGAGAAAAATAACTTAGAGAAAGACATGAAGCTGTCAATGAAGCAGGGACTTTAGCATACAGAAATAAATGTTCAAAAGTACAGAAAACAGTCAGCAAAACCAGAGGAAATTGCAATGGTTCCTTCTGAGGGACAAACAAGCCTTCTGTGAAAGTGCAGTTACTGCTACTTTGCACTGAAGAGAGCTGTAAGAAACACCTAGGCTCCCTTTTAACAAGGAGGTTGAAACAACAGGAGCACCATCCAGAACATACATGCATTCAGCCATGGCTTCAGTAAAAAAGGAATGCGTTGGCTCTTCCTGACTATGAATAGTACAGAGCATTACTGCAAGGCCAGGCTGGAACCAGGCATCTTTCAGGTGCCAGAGCTGGAACCTTGTCTGAGCAGCTGTCTGTGAAAGAAGCAAGGGAAAGATAGGAGAAATGAAGACAGTGCCAGGAAATGAGCTACTGCAACACACTGAGAAGCACTGGGAACAGGGCTGCATGAAGGAAATTGAAATGGTTTTAATCTAAGTCCAAAATGACAGAGACCTGGAACTGGGAACGTAGAAAATGCCCTTCACTTCCATCTCCCAGATGCTTCAAGAAACTGAATTTTAAAACTCCTTCACAGCAAAGTTACCTTATCCTATTTTCAGGTTATAATCTAACAGAATCAATGCTCTGGACTATGAACTTTGGATAGCTGGTGATATACAATCAAGATGATACACCACTGCTTATGTTCCACTGCTGTGCAAACCACTGGAAGCTATTGCTTTGTTATGTAGCAGTAAAGCCACCTCTTCAGCTCCTGAAAGTAGATCAAGTTCCTTAAGAAAAAAAAGAACAGACATCCTCCACCCCCCAAATAAAAGGGGTGTGGGAAATGTCCCCAAGAAAATAGGTGTGTCCTGCCTGCCTCACCAAGGGAGCCATGCAATTTCAGTATAAAGGTCCATTCAACCCTGTGGCACAGACAGAAGGAAAATTACCTCCTTTCTCCAAGTTTCCAAGCAGACAGCAGCAAAGAGCTCCTGTTTAATATTCTGCTACTGTTGCAAGGAAGTTTGTGGATAAACTGAGTGTTGCCTATGCCAGAGCAGAGCTGTTCTCCACCCTGTGGGTGCAGACAGGACCAGAGCAGAGCCACCGTCTCCCCACCTCCCAGGGCACTGCTGCAGAGCTAGCACAGCACAGACCCACCCTCCCTCCCGTTCCTGGGTGTCACAGTGTCCCCACAGCTGCCGAGGAGGTCCTCACCCCTGTGATCTGCAGCTGGCAATGCAGCAGCACCAGCACTGAAGGACTCACCTTCTTCATAGACCTGCAGCATCATGGCATCAGGATGTTGGCAGAGGAGGACATCCCTTGTGTCTTGGCCTGTGTCATTGAGGAAGGACAAGCTAAGAGAAGGGCTTCTCTTAGCAACTCATTAGAGCATCCACAATGCTGACCTGTGCTTCTGTGCCACTCCCCTCCCTGTATTACCACTACTGAAACAGGACTGGTTCCAAACAGGGCTTTTCCTTCCATGCCTGCAATTGTTCAGCAAGCACACTGGGGAATCTCTTCTCCAGTCTGTACAGCAACACCTGGGCTAGGAGCAATAGTTCTTTCTCTGAGGCAACTGTAGCAAGTCCTCCTCAGAGCCACAGCCTTTAAATTCAGCTAGGATTGTGTGAGCAGCATTTCTGCTCTCTCCCTTTACTTCCTTGAATCCATTCCTTCTCCTGAAACTGGACAGTGGATGTTTCTAAACCAGCCCCATTTGAACTTCTGACAGCATTTGCTGACATGCATGGAAGCAAGGGATGGGTGAGCTATTTTATATTGCCTTCCAATCCATTTGAACAGCAGCTATCCAAGAATGTGACTCAAGCTCAAATGTTAACCTGTTCTCATTTTAACCTATGTCTCATAGGGAACAGCTGGAGGGGAGGGGAAGGCAAGAAGAGACAGAAAAGACAGAGTAGGCTACAAAATGAGAAAAATAAAGACTCAAGAAATGAGATCACCGAAAAGCCATTTAAAATTATCTAAATCCAACTCAGGGAAGGCTTCCATATAGGCACCCTTTGCACCAGTCCAGCTTTGGCTCATAGCCTAGGAGCTGTAAAACATAATAGATGCTTTTCTTTAACTGGAAAAAGAATTGTTGGGTTGTTTTGTTTTTTTTAAGCAATCTTTGACAGAACGATAAAGTGTTTAAACTATTCAAAGTGAATAACGCAAACTACTATTTCATAAGGTCTTGGCTCTATTTTAGGAAGTCTTCAAACTCTGGATGTCATCCCTTCCCTCTGAAAATTTATTTAAAAGGTGCATCAGAGCCCTGCTTCAGTCAGAGCACTGACCTGACAGTCCTGTCACCAGTGTGAAAGATAAACAGATTTATGACTTAGACCAAAATATTTCGAATAAAAAACAGCAAGGCCATTTATCAACAAGCCTCAAACAATGGGAGATTTCATTTGAAAAGTGAGATGCATCCTCTCCTGCCAACTATTGCAGTAGTAAGCCTTGGACTTAATGCAACTTTGACTCCCTGTGAAAGGATCAGTGGTTCATCTGAGGGAAATTGGAGACGTAATTAAAAGTAAAGCTCCTCTCTCGCCAAATCTAACCTTGATTTATCTAGTAAACTGAACATCTTCAGAATGAAAATGCAGTAAAGCAGAGCAGTAATGAAGCCTTGATTTGGCAAACCAAATATTGGCATGCACAGGCACACACAGCTGAACATTTTCTGCTGAAATAACTGCACTGAAAATCACTCATGTTGGGACCCAGCCTGCAGTGTGAGAGTGCCACTCCCATAGATAAGAACTGGTACCCTAAATCCAACTTCACATTTTCTCAGCTGCATTTGCATTATACAAGCGGATGACACTTCAATCTTGTTTGAAAATCAAAGATAAAATGTAACCACCTTTGTGCCTTGTGGTTTTCCTGTTGCCTTTGGTGTCAGCAAACCACTACATACAGTAAAGGTAAATTAGGAAAATTACTGTTTTAACACCCTCTTGGCTTTCTCTTATATCACAGGTTCACTCAAAAACTATGAGCCCATCAAAGAGCCTCTGAATGTTTTACCACATAAGGAATCACCATCTCCAGCAAACTCTGATCTAACAACATTAGATGAATTATTGATCCAAAGGTAAGGAGATTCCCATGCAGGGTATTTCCCATGCCTTCCCTGAAAACTACTCAGTGGTGTCAGAGTGAGAATGCTTCTTTTGGGAAGGACAGCTAGACTAAGCTGTAGTTCTGATCCATGCCTTCTCACCTTGACTTGTGGTGCTGCTTTCAGTCTTAATGACTTCTACAGCAGACTATTAGCATGGTGGTAAAAGGGTCTTATCAATGTGGGTTTGGGGAAGACAGTGAAGGAAAGAGGGGGAACAAGAAGACAGTGGGAAGATGGAACAAAGGGGAATGTGATGCAGGATCACCCAGCAGTGTTAGCAAACTGGGCAGACTGCCTTAAGCAGTTTCTTGAGAATAAGGAGAGCCTGTGAGCATTTTGTTATGGAACACCCCAGCATCAGGGTAATCCCTTTCTCAGCCTTCATAGAGAGCTTTTCTGAAGCCTGTTACACAATCCTGCATGGAAAACAAGGTTTTATAGCTGAAGAAGTAGCTACAAAGTTTTTTTTTCTAAAATATCCAGACTTTTTGTTTGCTTTTTGCTTTAAAGAACTGATAAGCAACAGAGGCTTTCAATGAGGTAGTCCTTTTTGGCTTAAATCCCTCAACAACAAAGGTCCAGCAGAAGACCCTGGTCCCATAACTCAGAAATTTACATACATCCCATAAATCTCCCCTCAATCCTGCTCTCTTGCCACTGTAGCTAGGCAGAGAAAGGAGCAGCTACCTATCCCTACATTTTCAAATATAACTAAGGTTTTCTCCCAAACTCATTCTCCAGCTACTCACCCCCTGTGTGTACAACTGTGAGGTAGTCCCTCCTTCTATTGTAGAACAAGCTGGAAGCAGTAAGAACTTGTCCTCTTAGGGTGCATACATCCTGCTGCACCGTCTGGTCCTAATTACTGAGACCAGCTGTGTTGGGGTAGTACAGAGTGCTTTCCCAGGCACTTTTCCCTGTGGAGAGGACTCCAACACAACCATTTTAGCCAAATGTCAAGTTGGATTTAAATAAATTAATTGCCTTGGCTAAAAATGATTGCCCCTTGGCCGCAAACTGAGCATATGAAATGAGACAGCCACAGTCTGCTGCAATGTCAAACCTATCTGTCATCCTTTCCTTGGGGCATAATCATCACTGTCAGTCTGACATCCTGACACTGGCACTTAGGCAGCTCTGAAATGTGCAATTTCTGATTCTCCCTGGAGCTGGAAACAATGAGCCTGTGCTAGGAGTTAGTTGTATCAAAGATGCTGCTGTGCACAGAACCTGTCAGGTCAGTACAGGTTCTAAGTCATGTCTGCTATAAGCAGGCAGTCCTGCTGAATGGCATCTCTTGAAATTGAGCACAGAGATTTAACAGAGAATGAGACCCAAGTTCCAGCTCAAATTCAACCCATGTCCTCCTTCCTTCTCCAAAAGATCAGTTATAATTTATAGGAGAAGCACTAGAAATCTGCAATGGGAAAGCATGCAAGAGCCTAAAAAAATGCCATTATTTGTAGTAATCAATAGTATCTCACTTGTATTTGGAAAAAATGGCCATTGTGCAGATAATACATTTAAAATATTATTGCTGGTCTCAATAATTACATTTAATTTCTCCCCAAAAGAATAAATCTGGTGCCTGCCAGCTGACCATTCTGCTGAAAGCAGAAGCTAGCAGTTCTGCAGAAGAGACAGTACAGGCACCTCTGACCAGGACTGGGAAGATCCATGACATTCTCAGGAGTGGATCACCAGTCCTGAGGGCAAGTGGGCCCACAGTGCTGCATCTCTTCACATTCACAAGCATGCTACAGCAGCCATATAAATTCTAGGGCTGGGCAGTCACAATCCCTTCTCCTTGCATGAAGATAATCAGCAGGTCTGACACAAATGGATTCCTTACAGGCAAGGATGTCATTTCACATACAGCCATGCTACATAACTCAGGGTAGGAAGTAAACATAGCTGGGGAACATAGTGAAGAGCTCAGCAAAAGGAATTGTCATCTGCATGGTACTCAGATGGGATTTTGGTTTGAATCTACATGTCTTTCAAAGCCCTGAGAATAGTAGAGTAATTCACTGATCTCACAACATTGATGTCTGAACACAAGATGTCCTCAAACATTATTGCTGGTGCTCCAAACTCTGGATGGCCACGGGCCATCCATAAGATACTTCCTAAGAGAGTTTTTATGCCTAACTATGCTCAAATGATCTTTTTTCCCCATGACCCTTCTCTTACATGATCTCCAGCTCCCCCTAAGCACTGCAGAGCTCTCCACAACATTCCATGGCTTCCTCTCAGTCTTGCCCATTGTACAAAGGTCCAAACCCCTACAATGACAAGCCACTTCCCAACAGCTCAGCTGACTTGCCCTGGCCATATCAGTGCTGAGCTTCTAGCACAAATTCTGCTTCCCAGAGTAACCAGAGCCAAAGCCCTGGGAGGAGCTGCACTCATAAAAAAGCTGTTCTTTCACTGGGATCAGTCCTTCCAGCTCCAGTGTGGCAGCAGCTGTGCAGACATCATAGAAAGCCACAGAAGATACATTGGAAGAGAAAGTCAGTGTGAAATTTCACTTTTCAAAGCTCATGGAGGCCATTGGTCTACCAGTGCAGAGCAACCTATTTCTTTACGCTGCTTATGAAACCTCCAATTCAAATAAACAAGGACCATCTAAAAACCCTTTGGTCACATTTGATCTGAGGTCAAAGAATGGAAGTACTACAACAATGAATACAAATAGTCACCTCCGGCAGCAAGAGGGAATCTAGCTTGTTTGAATTCCTGCAAGCACGTGTATTAGAGAGAAGCAGTGAAATAACACAGCCCTCTGTGAATAGCACAGCGCTCTGAAGGGTGCTGTGTGTGTGTGGGTCAGCATCCCTCAGCCCAGCACTCTCGGTCCTGGGCAGCAGAGGGCACTGCTCTTATAGCCTGATTTAACCAGAAGAGCAGGAAAAGCCTCTGGAGAGTCCAGGACCTGGATTGCAAAAGGACTTCTACCATATTTGAGCAAGTTTTCTTCTACTTATGAAATACATTTCTTAAAGTTACCTCCTCTTTCTGCTGCCAATGGTGCTTCAATTTGCAAATGGTGAAGTCATGAATAGCTGGTGCAAACACCTGTTGACCAAATCTTTAAATTTTGTTGCTCTACAACAAATTTTTGTTCTTTCAGAGACAGAGAAATAGATTTTTTTCCTATCCCTCTTTTTGTGCAATCTGCATCCTGAAAAGTCTAAGTCTATTTGCAGGGAGAAGTATTTTAAAAACCAATACATTTTCAGTAAAAATAGCCACTGTAGGTATTAAAATGTCATTACTGTGAAAATGTCATATTTCACAGGATCACACAAAATAGCAAGCAATAACATACACAATTCTAATAAAGCATCCTTCCAGCATATAGCCAATGCAGATCCCAATCCCAGCCTGCCCACCTATTCCACCCATTCTCTGCTTGCCAGGCTTTTCAGCCCACTCATATTTTCATTACTGTGCAAGGTCTGGGCTTTGCCCTCCAGGTCTCCCAGTCTGATCTGCTTCATCTGGACATGCCCTGACCCCCAAGTTCCTCATCAATCTCTTTGTTTCACCCCTTTTCTATCAGCTTCAACTTGTAATTCCCCACAGAATTTCCTCAGCCTACTACTCACCAGACACATTCTTCTCACTTTCCCACCTGTGGCTCATCTCTCAGTGTCCTTTTGGTCCACAGGCTGTTCACCATTTGGCTCCTTATACAATCTTAGTAACCCATCCCTCTTCCTAGCTCCAGTGCCAGATTTTACAGTCTCTTCCTATTCACCTCTTCCTGAAGTATCCAGCTATGGGTGAGTTCCTTTCTTCATAGCAATCCCCTGGTCCAGAAGCAGACCTCTTCCTTGCCATGCTTGAGTCTTGCTCCTTCTGTTTTTCAGTCAAGTGGATTTCTCATCATGCTGATCACAGACATGGCCTTTATTCACAGTGCCTAGATCTGGACCAGGCAGCTTTTACAGCTACAATATTGGAAATTCTCTCAGCCCTCAGCACAACACACATTCTCTCCATGGGCCGGAGCTCAGGAATTTTAGGTGCTAAAATCTAAGTCTAAAATTTGTGTGCATTGTGGCAGTGGAAAAGAGCCTATAATTCTATGGATTTTAATGAGTGTGGAGACGATAAAACCCTTGCAACCCCAAAATGTCAATTTTGCATATCAACAGAAAGCAAAGTTTCTTGAAGGAGAGAACAACAGGGATCCAATAATATTTTCCTAAGTCTAATAAATAGTTAATTTTTTTCAATATATTAAAAAACTCTTGTCTCTGGCAGATGATCAGTAAGTAAAAAGATAACCCTGATCATTATGAGCATCTAAATGTTAGAAGCACATAAAGATCTCATGAACGGAATTCTGAACATTTTTAGTTATTGGTAAGGCTGCCAACAGATATAACTAAGGTGTTTTGATGAAAGATTAGGAGCCTCAGAAGAGCAGATATGTTCCTAGGCTTTAGGATCTAAAAATACTAGGGATGAGAATTTCTGCCTGTCTACCATTAAAAAGTCAAAAATCAGGAACAGAAAGTGCCAAGACATACTGATTACCAAAATCACTGTTAAAATATACACATGAACAGAGGGAAGCTGAATGAAACTGAGGTATGAAGAAGTCCTTGACTAGGTATAACATTCAAATCTATTAGTAACTTCACACTTCTCAATAATTTGGTTAGCTCAGATTTTAAAAGTGCTTCTTACCTCATCTTGTGGCCTTTCGTGGTGTGAAACTCCCACTGACTAGAAGAGTTTGGGGAATTTTTCATGAATAAGATCTGCTGGGCTGCCTCTTCTCTTTTTAGTTTCTAGAAGGGGAGATATAATTTCTAAAAATTGCTATAAGACAACATTTAGAAAATGCATTTAAATTTCATTTGAAAACAAGCTCTTTGCACAGCTTTATTCTGAGGATTGCTTTTGATTTGAAATACACATAATAAATCTTAATTCAAATGATTACTCATTTTTCAAAATTACTAGAGCCTGAAAATACAAACCAAGATTGGGAATTCATCCCTCAAGCGTAACTTAAACGAGATAATTGCAATAAACTAATTATAAACTCTCATCAATCATCACATTTTTAACACAACGTGGACCAGGTCAGCCAGTATTTCAAATCTTTTCTAGCAGCAGTACAGCGAAGCTGGAGACAGTCTGCAACAACACAAACCCTTCTTTGCAGAATATATGCAAGCTCAAACCCCTTCCCTTTGTCCACAGGGAGCTGAATGATAATCATGCCCCATGTCAATAGAGCATGGCCACCAAGGATCATCTCCAGTGCCTTTATGCTTGCAGACCCTAAGAGTTCCAGAGAAAAAACTGGGATTGGGTCTGTTGGGGCATTGCATGACTTCTGTCACCAACAGTGCACCACATAGTGCTGCAGGAGAATTATTATGGGGCTTTAAGGTATATTGTTCTAGTGGTCAGATTCTTTCTTTCCTCCTACAACTAGACCAGGAATTTTAGGATTAATTAAAGGGATTGTAGTGAGAAAACTGGTTTGTTATCATGAGTTCGTGCTGATTTTGGTAACTGGGGAAAAACTCTTTAGGCTCTGGATCAAATTGCTTGTTGTTGCATGAGAGAAAAAAGAACACCTCCTCTGAACTCCTACCTCATGTTTAAGATCAGGTGGAGTAGAAACCTCTCCAGGCCTGAGCCTGCCATTTCACAGCAGTGAAAAATTATCCAAGGTGGCACTGCCACGGTCTTGACATCTATCTGCACGTCTGCCACTTCTGCTCTGTTGGCACTCACTTTGAGCTCACTCTGTAGTGAGACAATGCACACATAGATCTAGTTCCACCAAAAAAAGAGAATCATTTTCCAAGAGTTCAGCTGCCCAGACTTGCTAACTGTGAATGGGATAAGCTTGAGTGAGTGCAGGCATAAAAGCAGAGGTAGATATTTGCCTCAGAGAGTTGAGTGAAAAAAACAAACAAGTAGAATTGAGCAGCTATATCAGCTTAAATTACATATAAAATCCTAACAATGGTGGAAATAGGGAGCATCTTATAGCTATTCTACTTCACAGAAATAGTTCAGTATTGACTGACTTAAAGTACTATCTGGTGAATAGGGCATTTAGCATGTTCAAGAACCTTTCTGAGTGACCAGAGAAAGCAGCACAGCTCCAGAAGACACTGACCTGCCCTGGAACAGGCAGTAACATGTGGGATGCAAGGGAATAATACATCTCTGACTCTGACCTGGATCCCCCACTCCCAGCGTGAAAATGCCAGTCACCAGACCACTCTGACAGAATCACTTGTTTGCCTGCCTTTAGTTTTTGTGTCAAACTTTAAAAGCTTTCGGTTTTGTCCCCAAACAGAAAAGCAAGACTTAGAAAATCCCAGCAAATTTTGTAGGACAGAAATATCTCCTTCTTGCTAAATATAATTTTTTGTTCCAGTCCCATGAGTACTGGGAACACTCTGTCACCTCAGTTGGGAGAAAAAGTATTTCTCAGTATTTCTTGTTTTGTTTATGGATATTCTCTGTTGCAAGAATAAAACTGGGAGGGAAGGAAGAACAGCATATTTGAAAGATCAAATTACAATTAGAAAAGAAACAGTCCTAAAGGAAGGAAAAGTAGAGTTCACTGGTCATTGCAATGCAGTGTAACAGCTCTCTGAAACACAGAAACACAAGCTGGGCCTGCCATGGCTACAGGGGATATTTCACTTCTAGCTGGTGTTTCACCTCTTCAAAGCTTCCACTGGGTTTATTACCATTATTGCTTTCTGTGATATTTTCAAGTTTTCATCTCAGACCAAAAGTAAAAAGCTCTGGAAAAAGTGAAAGAAAAGGGAAGACAGGCAGGATCAAATTACCAGTTACGGAATCAAAAGAAGACGTTTTCTATTTCTGAATATTTTTCATAGCATGACCCAGACATTTTTCTAAGAAGAAATTTCAATTTCAAACAGATTTAACCCTTGAAAGAAGAAATGTGAGGGGTTAGGAATCTGTTAAACTCTTAAATCACACTTCTAAAAGATTTGTATTTTTTTTAGTTAATACATCCAAAAGTTATATGTAGATATATGTTCATTCTAGTAGTGTCAGTTAAGAGCTTATACACTGATTTCACTTTGCATACTAGAGAGAGCTCCTCACTGCTCTTGTCCTTCCCTTGAGAAAACAGTAAACAGCATATCTGATTTTCCAGATTTCAGGGTAATGAAGAGGCTCCCTTTTTCTAAGAAATAAGTTTTTTAAAAGCCTACCCACTCTCTAAAACCTTTGACAATATTCTTGCCCTGGCAGCAAGCCACCAAAAAATGAGCTTCAGATAGTTGCTGCTGCTTTATCCCTTCCACAAGGTTTTGGCCTCCCCCACACTCACCTGGCTGCCCCAACCCTGTAATGCCCAGTGTTTAATGGCTGATAATGCATACTGACCATCTATCCAGTGACAATGTCAGCCACAGCTCTCAGGCTCTCATCTTCCTCTGTAAGTACAGCACAGGCTCCAGCTCTCACCCTCACCCTCGTATTTCCTTTCAGTTCCTTTCCCTCTGCCCTCCTGGTCAGGGACTGCACGAAGACCACACTTGCAGCCCTCTCTGAGCCCTCAATGACATTTCCAGCTGTTTTCCTTTCCCATTCTGCTTCTTAATGACTTAACAACTGAGCTCTCCTGTGTGCCAGATCTAGATCTAGTTCACATAAGCTGAAGGAGTTTCTCTGGACGTATTGTCACGTGCTGATTAAAAGCTATACTGACATATCATTTAGCAAAACCAATATAAAAATGATAAAAAGGAAGCCATTTTACACATACAGACTAAGACAAGGATTCTATGTTGTTGCATAAATTACTTTATCACATACAGAAAAAAATCATGGTAATTTACGCAACAGGGAGAGAGCAAGCACAAGGAATAGCAGAGCATTTTTCCTCTGTTAACTCCTCAGTTGCAACGTGGTGCAGATGACTTTTTTTTTTTGCTGAGGGTTACTAACATGTGGTGAAGAGCTGCACCCAGCCTGTCCACAACCACTTGGACTGATGTAACCGTACTCTGGAGCTCAAGAGATTTTATCCCTGAGGCAGAAAAACAATTACCTGAACGAAGACAGATATAGATTACTGAGTACTGAGATACTTACTTCCTAAACGAGGAAATATATCCTTATGGAAGTAGCGACGCTAAGGAATGGGAGATGAGGGAAATGACCGAGCGGGTGCGAAGCCCTGCCGGAGAAGGAGAGGCGAATAGCAGCCAATCCTGTGGGGTAATCAAGAGTGCGCTTCCCGGCAGGAGGGATTAGGCTGAGTTTCCCAGTTACATTCCTCCATCTCAGGGTTTCACTCCTGGAGAAGAAATGCACCATATGCACCAGATCTGGAAGCAGTTCAGGAGAACCCCCCTCTGCCACCCCCTTTCCTCCCTCAAAGCCGGCGCCATCCACACATGAGCAGAGAGGTGCAGGGGATGGGGGGCAGCGCTGCGCCCCGGGGCTGAGGGACGGGAGGTCAGTGCCGGGGCAGGACCCCCTCCCGGCGTGGGGTGGCCGTGCATGGAGGAGAGGGGCTGTGGCATGAAGTGGGACGGGGTGTGTGGGTGCTCGCTGGGGGAGGGTGCCTTGCTGGGGAGGGAGGGAGCGACCGGAGGAAAGGGCTTCCCTACATCGAGGGAAGAAGCCCCTCTGCAGGAGCTGAGGGGGGATGGAGGTAGGGGAGCCTGTGAAGGTGGGGGCCCTCTGGGGCAGGGATTGCTGCCTTTTGGCGGGGCCCTTGGGGAGGAGGGAGCCAGCCTCCCGGCGGAGGAGGGACCTGCGCTGGAGGGGAACCCGGGCTCAGGAGGTCTCTGCGGGCAGGAGTACCGGGACCGGGGTGGGGGGCTCTGAGAGGGCAGCTTGGGGAGGAGGGGAACGACACGACACCTGAGGGGTCTGCGGGGACTCGGAAAATATTTTGGTGGCGTTGAAAGGGTCTGCAGGGGAAGCTCTGAGAAGCTCTGGGGGAACTCAGGGGTCAGGCGGGAGCTCTGAGATCTCCGAGGAACAGGGACTGAGAATTGCCGGGCTTTGAGGGGTTTCGGGAGGGATTTGGGGAAGGCTGAGGGAGATCCGTCGGCATTCGGCAGAACTCCGTGGAGCCTCGGAGGAAATCTGGGAACGAGGAGAGAGGCTGCAAGGAGCTAGGGGAGCTCTGAGGGGCTGGTGGAAGACCGCGGGAAGATCTGAGGGGATCTTGAGGGGGTCTCTGTGGGGAAAATCTGTGGAGAGGCTTTGAGGAGAATCTGAGGGGAGGCTCTGAGAGGATTTTGATGGAGAGCCCGTGGGGATGCCTGACGGAAGGTCTGAGGGGAGGCTCTGAGGGGATTTGAGGAGGCTGTCTAGAGATTTTAGGGGAGAGCCATGGGGACGTTTTGGGAGAAGTGGGTGTCTGAGGAGAGACTCTGAGGAGACCAGAGAGCCTCTGAGGAGGCTTGGGGGCTCACAGGGGGGCCGGGCTGCGGGGGCGCCCCGGGGGCGGCTGCAAGTCCCCTCTCCCTCCCGTGCAGGCTGCTGCCTTCCTACCCCCGTTACCGTGGCAACCGCCCGGGCTCCCCCAGCCCCGCACCGCCGCCGCCGCTGCCGCCGGAGCTGCTGGGCAGCCGCCTGCCGCCACCGGCCATGGAGCTACTGGCCGCGGCCCTCAGCGCCGCCTGCGCCTTCGACCAGGACGGCTCGCCGGGACAGCTCACCAGGTGAGGGGGGTGCTGAGGGCGCGGGGCGCGGGCGCGCGTAGGGGCCGCTGTCCCGCCACTGTTCTGAGGGCGCCTCCGCCTCTCCGCAGGCCCCCCCCCGCCGCTGAGGAGACCCCTGCCGCCGGCACGGGTGCGGCACCGCCCGCACACCCCATGACAGCCGACTCCTGGAGGAACCTCATCGAGCACATCGGTAAGGAGCCGTGCCCACCGCGGGATGTCCGGCCGCCGCTGCGGCCTCACACAACTTCGCCGCTTCTCCCGCTCCCCGCACCGACGGCGGCACAGCAGCCCCTAGAGGTGCCCTCAGCCCGGCCGGGCTGCACCTGCCGGCCCCCTGAACCCCCAAACCCAGAGCTAAAGACAAGCGGTGCACAGATGGGGGGAGTTAAGGGCGGGGTAAGGGCTTGTGCTGCAGGTCCCCAACTCCCTGACCTTGCTGGGAACCCTCTCACCGTCCTTAACGTGGCTTTTTGAGGTCTTTGGGGTCATCAGGTTTGCACGTTTCCCGGCAGTGGATTAATGCTATCGCATAACAGCCTAACCTTGTTCATAAATAATGATTATTCTTGTCATTACGAAACAATTAATCATTAAGGCTACCCCAAACTTTCTACTAAAATATGATTTTGCACTCCAGAAGGCATAAGACTAAAGTATTTTTTTCACCCATCCTGTTGGACATTAGTTGCATGCACCAGGTTCTGCATCTATTCAGTGTAACAGCCACTGGCATAGCACTTTGAACACAAGAATAAGTTATTTTGTCCTTTGTGGTCTCTAAAAAGGCAAAGTTGAGGTTATCTGGGTGACTATGGAGGAGAGGACTGTTAAGCATTTGCTTTTATGGTATTTTCTTTTCTTTTTTATCTTTATCTTTTGTGGGATGGGGAGAGAACCTCCACAGCTTGTTTCTTGCTTTCCCACATCAGAATTGTGACGTTCCTCAGAGGAATTTCATCAACAGCAAAGCTAAATCCCATCCTGAGGCAGGTTGTATGGTGGGAATATAGAAGCTTTGTTTTTAAACACTCCTGCTCAGTTTCAGGAAATAGAATCAACATACTTGAATCTAGAGGGCAGGAATGCAGCACTTAGCATGGGAAAATGGAACATACAACTCACAAGCAGCATGGCAAGCCTCCCTGGCAGAAATGAGAAGGCTTCTTAGGCTGTCTCTGCTGTTTGGTGTCAGGTTGTGGCATGCAAGGCTGATTCTTGGTACACCTGATGCCTCTGGCACAATGCTGGAGAAGGAGGCTGGTGTGAAACCAGCAGCCTGCTAGCATCTGTCAGACAAACCAGCTGAGTTTGGGGCCTCCTGGAGGAAAGTGGTGAACAATTTGTGTGAGTGTTGCCAGATCTGTTACCGGGTTTTGGCTGTGTAGATACTAACCTACCAAGGGAGCTGTGTCAAAACACTGTCAGTTTACTGGGACTGTGCACCTCAGAGGTGAGATAAAAATACTGAAACCAGCAGGAGTTCAGAGCAACCCAGTTGCTATTTTCATATATATTTTTATGTGCTGTGTATCAGAGGGAAGCTGTGCAAAACTCTGCACACATCAGTGTAACTGCAATTGTGTTGCACTTTTATGGAGGAGACTGGGTTTTGACAATCTAAGGTGTTATCTTTACCCCACCAGAGATGTAACATCAAATCGCTGGAGCTCACTCATTCCTTCCCTCCCTCCTGAGACATTAGTGGACTCTTTGCCTGAAACTGGAGCAGAGAATTTCAGAGAAAACCTCTCTGTGCCTCCTGGGATTTTACATAGCTTTCAATGCAATAACGTTTGCTTTAAGAGCGCTGCTAACTCTCTAAGGCAAGGATTTCCACAATTAGTAACTAGTTTTTCAATTCCCTTCCCAGCTTTTAAGAGAGCTGGGAAGGGAGACTGTGACAGCAAAATTAAATGGAATAAACAAAAAAGGAAGTGTCTGTTACGTACTATAAAAATTATGTAAACATGCCTTATGAAGATCAGTCTTAAACACTTAAGCCAACAGATAACACCAAACTCATGCTCTGACCACAGGGTTAACCGTTAGCCAGGTCACAGTGAGGACAGCTGGGACATTAAGTAATGGAGGGAGCTTATGCAGGTCTCTGACATTTTGTACTTGCTCCCTTACTAAATGTAAACATTTACTAAATAATTATATCATGAGTCACATTCAGCTATTGATCTCAGCTTTTTTTATACACATTCTGTAAGTTCCTACATGTATTGTCTCCTTTCAACATGTCAAAACCTTGTACCTTGACCTTGCATCTGTTACCCCTCCTGTGCTGTGATCGTCTCTTGTTCCATCTGGACAAGGCCTTGGCATAGCTTCTCTCCCTCTTTTTTTCGTAGTTTTTCTACCCATTGTAACCTCTTTGCCAACATATGAGTAGACCCTTAGGACCAAGACAGCAGGGATATCTTTTATCCTTGCTAGCACACCCTCCTTATTTCTTCCTACTCTTTTGCCTACACATCTACCTGTCTTTTATCTTTCCTCTGTACCACCTTTCTGCTTTCTCCTCATATTGCTCTCTTAGAGTTGGTAGAGCTTCAAGCAGTCTCTCTTGCTGTCATTTCCAATTGAATTCTGATGGTGGATGCTTTCCATCAGTCAGATCTTTCCATGCCTGTATTTGCTTTGCCTGCCACTGACAGCTCCATAGCTCTTACCTGGTCAGTCAGAGAACCTGGAAACAAAACCAACTTTGATTGTCTGCATCTTATTTCCTTAAAGGCAAGAGACAAATAGTCTTGAGGATCTTTTAAAAAGGGCTGCTCTTCAGATTTGCATGAGGGACCCTAAATCCCCCTTACACAAAGCATCCTCTGACTTGCAAGGCAGAGCCAGCAGCACAACATGGCTGTATACCTGCAGTCAAACACTGCAAGTATAATTATCTCCAATTTGAGTAAAATAGATTATGCTTCAGTTTCCCAGCGTGTTTTCCCTTGAGTCAAGCACTGCCCACGCTGCTGCAGGATGTTGCTTCCCAGCTTGTCCTGCTCTCTATGGGGCAAAAAGAACCCAGAGCCCTCGAGCACAGGCTGGCCATACGGATCAGTGCCACCAAAAGCAGCTCCAATTTAGCAGTCTCTCTGCTACATACTGAAGGAGCACTTCCACCCTGCTACAGCCTCAGCACCCTCCCTGATGGTGAAAAACAGCCTGAAATGCTTAGGAAAGCCAGATAAACCTAGTTGACGCAGAGAAATTACATAAGTGGCAGCAGCATGCAAAACTTCAGGGGAAGTCTCCTCTGCTCAGCACTGTGTAGGAAGCTAACAGAAGACTCTATGGTTTCCTAGGCACAGCTACCCTTACTGCTATTTTAGTCTGGTGTTGAACATCTTTCCAGGAAGAACAGATAGCAGGACACACTCGCAGACTGCAGTAATCCTGTGCTTATTCCTGGACCTTTCCCCAGCATATTTCCTGTATAGTTTTAGCACTGACTGGTACACAGCCTCATTGAAACTGGTCCAGAGATTATATAGATGGCAACATCTACATTTCTGCCTACTTTAGACAAACTTTTAATCCCATTGTCTCTCACCTTATTGCACACAGAATGTCAGATCAAATATCATGAATACATGTGACCAGATAAATTTTAGCCCCTAATGATTCAGACAAAATTAATTATTTAGCATGGTTTTTTTAACATCAAAGGCTTTTCTCTTTATTCATTCATGTTACACTGCTATTCAAGTATAAACCAAGGGAGATAATATAAATTGTGCTTCTTCAATTTCATTAAGGGAGGAAAGTGACTCAGTGTGCTCATGCTCTCCTGCCTTTACATGTCTTCTAAATTACATTTTATATTCAAGCAATTAAAATTCTGGGTCCTACAGATGGTTCAGAAAGAAAAATGGGACAGTTTGAAAGCCCTCAGAGAGACAAAGGATGTTCTAAAGATTGAACTTCAGGATTCCTACCTTTTCCATGCTGTCAGTTGATACCAGAGTGGAGGCAAATCCAGTGCAATTTCATCTTCTCCCAAAGTTAGTAATTGAAACTTGGAAGACACCTGGTGTCATTGATGTGCTGCCCCATAGTGTGAACTCAGTTCCTTAGTCCTGTAGCAAATAGGTACCTTTTAGATATTAATTTTGCATCTTCAAGCATCATAGAAACTAAGAAAGAAAACAGCAGGACATTAGCAACATGTCCAAGGCTAACCATGAAGTCCATACCAAAACAAACCTGTAGCTAGTTGTAGTAACTGCAGCTAGTTGTCCCAAAGCTTCACCTGTCCAATGCCAGTAACAGCAGCTCAGTGTTTCCTCATTAAGGATTTTTGTGGCCATCAAATTGCTCCTTTTGAAATAATTTCAATGTGTGCAGTATGACTTTTCCAGACACACACTTAAACATAGACATCAACCTATATAACTTGTAACGTAGTAATATAACAGAGAAAATCAAGGTTTAAAAGACATTTAAAAGCTTGACAAGTCGGTTCTTTTATGTCTTCTGAGTGATGATGGATTCATCTGCCTGTGTTACTAAATGTTTTGTGAGAGCAGATTTTTAACATTTTAGATTTAGAAATGGCCTTTCATTTGTAGCTTCCACTTCTGGCTGAAGTAGGAATACCATAACAGGCTTTTCACTCTGCGTGGAAGGCACATCTCTCACCTCTGCTGAGGTGAACTAAAGCAAAGCAACTGTCTTTTCCCACAATCTCGTTCAGTCGCAGCCTCTCAGACCTGCTGTGTTCCTTCCTAGGCCTCCTGTACCAGGAATACCGAGATAAATCTACGCGCGAGGAGATTGAAACCAGGCGATTGCAAGATTCACAGACAGACCCTGAGGAAACTTCACCCAGTGAGGAAACCCCGTCTGAAGCAGAGTCCACAAGTACAACTGAAAACAAAGCTCCACCACAAATCAATTTGCTGAGAAATTCCAACTCCAGGTTCAACTTATGGCAGGATCTTCCTGAGGTCCAGAACAGTGGTGTCCTCAGCATCCTCCAACCAGATGAGATCAAACTGCAGGAGGTAATGAAGGAGTATTAAGAATGTTTCTTAATCGTGTTGCTGCTTAAAAAATGGAAATTTAATTAGGCCACATGATGAAGATTTAAAAACTAAAAGCTTCACAGCAGTCGCAGACAAGCCTTGTCCTGTTGAGTACTTTCTGAGGTACACTGGTTAATGTACCACTCATTGTTTATTGTGAAACTGCAGACATTTTTCTGTATGCTACTGCTGCTGGATGTTTCTGTAGCAAAAGGAACTTCTTTTCCCTTTTCTGATTTGGTGTTAGGAGCAACTTACAAAAGAAGAGAGATATTAGGAGGTTTTTACAAAAGAGCCATCGGTTCCAGAGCACATTAATCCTTTTCCGAATTAACTATCAGGACCCATACCTTTCCACCAGAATTCTTAGAAGAATTCAACCATTAACTGTAAGGCTTTGAATAACTGACATAGTAGAAATAGAAGAGATAGAGATTGATAAACATCCTTATATTTAATTGTTGCTACTTGGAGTCTATTGCAAACAGTAAAAAATAATGACAGGTATATTTGCATTTAGCTATGCAGTGCAGTGACATCACTATTTTAGAGCCATGTGCTGTGACTTACAGGACTGAAAGGAGTAGGTGGGGGTAGCTGTCACAAGTGATGACAACATCAGTTGCCCCACAATTTACAGCTGGTTGCTATTTTGGGTATCATGGGGAGTGTGAGTGCTCTTTGTCACTGCATAGCACTGCATTTATAGCCAGCAGTGGAGAGGGCAAACCCTGTTAATGTGTGGTTTGCGTTGTGGTACAAGGCTCTAACCCACAAGTCCAGCTGTACTCCTGCACCAGGATTGCCTCTGATGAGATGGTGGGATGGGTGTGGCAGTGGATCTGCTTAGCCCTGGCTCATGGGACTGTACCCAAAGTGCTGAAGAACATCTCAGGGTGTAAGCAGTCCCTCCTAACTTCAGTTAGACTTCCATAACCCACGCTGAGGAGAACCTTGTGCACACAGTGACAGTCCTGGCTAGGGCTGGAACTTGACTGTGACACTGGAAAGTTCATCTTGTGCACTCCAAGGGCAGTGTTATTCACACCCTTAGTGGAGCAGACTGGTGTTTACATACAGTAGTTTGGGCTAGCAAGCACAGGCTGTTAGTGTATCAGGGTTAGGGCTGAAGGTGAATGAAATAATTTGGTTTTTTCTCCATGTTCTTCTTCTGCACTGGTTATTTGGATTTGCTCTGTTTACCTGGCAAAACACGGTACTTCCAAGTGCCAGCATGACAAACACAATCTGGCATCTGAAAAATTACAGGCTTTTATTTTTATTTTTGCTTCAAAATGAAGAATTTTTATGGAGAAATATTTTGCTTAAAAGCGTGCATTATAGATTTCAAAACTTGTCATTTCTGTTAAGTTACATTTGTTACCTGTATGTGGTTTTGGGAAAAAAATCTTGGTGCTGCTAAACCTCCATATTAAGTGTGCTCAATTTTCTTCTTTCTGTTAAAATAACAAGAGAAATAAAGCAGTTGGAGAATGGGACAGTGCTGTCATAAAGAAGTGCTGTGCCTTCTCCACTGTTAGTTTATCAGACCTGAAATTTTCTTCCTGCTTGTCCTGGGATTAGCACACTAAGAGATTATAAAATTGCTCCAAGCCAGAAAGCTGTGAAATTGGCTGAACATTGAACAGATAGAGTGGAGAAGTTGCTTTGTGAGGAGAATCAAGGTCAGAAAACAAGGAGGGCTAGAGAAATCACTGAAGGTATTGAAGAGATTATGTTGAATTCAGCCTTGCTGTAAGCAAGCACTACTTGCTCCTGCAGTTCTGGAATTCTATTCATGTTGGATGTGAACTGTGAGAGTGAACTGTACATGAGGGCTTAAGTTAGTAAATGTAAAATGTTCAGCTTCATAAAGGAGAATTGGAGAAGTTTTCCTGAAGTACAGGACAGCAGAAATTCTGGAGTAAATATCTTAAGGACAAAACTGTATTTTCTGACCCATTTTATCTTCAAAGCTGTAGTAGACACAGGGGCTAGAAAAGCTTGCATGTCTTCAGCCAGGAAAGGTGGAGCAAAAGCATTATTTTGATCATAGGGAGAAGTACTGGTACACAAATGGAAAGAAAGTTGAACACCCTGCTTCATAGCTGAGGAAGGGAACACCACCAGAGCTGTGACAGAGCAGGGCTTAAACAGTCAGAGAAAAAGTTGGTTATCTGAAATAATCTTCAGGTGAAAGGCTAGAACAGGAAGAGAAATCTGGTATTCATTAGTGGCAATGATGGAAATTACTGAGCAGCTTATCAATGCAAGATTAAAAAAAGATTTTCAAGCATCAAAACAAGAAACTTGACTGGAAGAGGAGTGGATGCTTGAAAAGTATCATGGAAAGTGATTTTTTTTTATTGTCCCCATTGGAACAAACAATACAGATATTATCACTATGGATTTCATTATTTCTTTAGTATAGCCTGCATTCTGGACCTGCCCTTGCAGGTGTGGCACCCTCCACTACAGCAAACAGCAAACACAGATTCTGCAGTCAGACTTGGCAGAAAAAAATCCTGACTTGGAGTCTCTGGAAAGCTGCAGTGCAAAATGATTGGAGGTGTCAATCTCCAGGATACCTGGAAGGGATAGGCTATCCTAACACATCCTGTATATCTTTGCCTATTTCTACCTCTCTCATTTATCAAAAAAAAAAGGTACAGGTAAAGCTGTAAAAGTTACATTTAGGACTAAGCCGGTCGTGCAGAAAGAGAGAGGTTCTCTCACAGGTTCACCCAGTGCCTGGGTAAAGCTTCTGGGAAAAGATGAGCAGATAGTCCTGCACTTTTCTCATTAGGAATCTGGCCTTGAAAAAAATCCAGTGTTCTCTTACTTCTTAAACACTGTCTGTTCCATGGTCACTAAGTTCATCTTTATAGACACCCTTTGCTCTGTCTCCCTTCTGGGGGCTGTGCAGGCACAATCTCCTCCTCTGGTGCAGGAAACCACTTGTTGGACTTGGGTGCCCACTGGGAATATTTCCTAGGCTGCCATCCCTGCAAAGTGCTGAAATGTCACTTCGACTAACTGCTGTTTTAGCAGCTCTGGGTTGAGTAACAGTCCCTCCTTCTGAACCCATTCACCCAGATCTTGGAGTGCAGTACAGTGTCAGGGACACAACCCAGGTCTCTACCTCGAGTTCTTATGTGATGCAGTGATATTTCCAGGAAAAGGCCAAAAACTGATCAGTGAAAAAATCCAAATAATTTCTTTAAAGAGAAAAAACAGACAACAAGCAAGCCACAAGACGGACCCCCAGCTAATTTAGAGCATATTTCTCTGTGTACACATCACAAAAACCACTGCATGTACCTGTGGCTCCATATGACCTCCTCAACTTTAGCTGTGCCCCAGCAGCCACTGAGAACCAGTCCCTGAGCTCTGACACCCGCTCTGCCTGGCCAGCCCCCCCCTCAGCAGGGTGCAACAGAGGAGCTGTGGGAACAAGGGGAGCATTGAAGCAGCTTTAGATTCAAGGGAGCAAAACTTTCACTGAACCACCAACTGCCTCTCTTAGTAATGGCAGTGTGGACCATGGGCCCCAGGACAAGGAACCCAAGGCACCCCTTCATCAAGAGATGCCTGAAGGATTTAACAGCATTGTGTTGAACCTCTGTGAAAGTCTTCAGTTAATCTTACTTCAACTAACGGATACAGTAGTTGTGTAAATAAACACCTTTTGTATCTACTTCTGAACAGAGACAACATACACTCCCCCAGAGAGTAAGGGATCTCTGAGTGGTAATAGTGGAATGTCCCTGCAGCACTTGCAATAGGTAGAAGACTTTATATCTACATCTCATTAAACTGATTTTTATCTCTGAACGAAACCATCAATTTGCCATTCTGCTTCCACAGATCACATCCTTGGCCTGAGGAAACCAGGCTTTGCTCCAGGGTTTTCTCTTCTAACAGGATAAGCAAAGGCTGAAATTTGGAGATTATTTATGATTTCTGATAGTAGTTAGGCACTACTGTATCTTGTCCTGTTGTGTTGTGAATTGGGGCAGAAAAATGTATGGCCAGGGCTGACCAGGGGGTCTCACTTGGACAGTAACAGCTGTATTTCCTCTAGGTCAGGGCTGATGGTTGTGGGAGGAAGACTTCCCTGACTAACTCACTGTCTCCTCACAAAACATGGGAAATGCATTGTGGGCTTACCTCTCCCTGCAGCCTGGGCCTGCAGGGTGGGTGCAAGGTCCGTGGCTGTGCAGCACAGATGTTCTCATTATTGCCCAGTGTAATGCTCTGTAGAAGTAGAAGGTACCTCTGACTTCTTTCTTTGGGATTCTCCCCCAGGCCATGTTTGAGCTGGTTACTTCAGAAGCATCATATTACAAGAGTCTGAATCTGCTGGTGTCTCACTTCATGGAGAATGAGCGTCTGAAAAAGATCTTACACCAGTCTGAGGCACACATCCTGTTCTCCAACGTGCTGGATGTCATGGCTGTCAGCGAGCGGTAAGTTGGCTGCTGAGTGGCACTGAAAGCAGCAGCTTTAGGTAACTGCAGTTGGAGAGGGATGGAGGAGCTGACTTCTCCTGGGAATTGCCTGGGAGAGATAGGTCACAATTAATATGGGTGCTGACTTTCTCATTTAGCTTCCTGTTGGACCTTGAGCAGCGAGTGGAGGAGAACATTGTGATCTCGGACGTGTGTGATATTGTCTACCAGCACACGGTTAATCACTTCTCTGTGTACATCACCTACGTCTCCAACCAGACCTACCAGGAGAGAACCTACAAGCAGCTCCTGTGAGTTCTAGTGCTTGTTGCTGCACTATTTTGTAAAATTGCACAAGCTACAAATTTAGCTGAAAATTTGGTATTTATGAGAAACGGCTAGATAGCACAGAAATGGGGTTTCCCTCTTCATGATTTCTCACTGCATCTGTAAAAAGAAAACACAATTAAAGGCTTTATAGTAAGGATTAGTTGATGCAGGTAACATGGCAAGTAAACTCAAAGCCAGCATTTCTCAACTGCAGGAAATATTTATGGTGCGTGCAGGGCCATGTACATGCTTGTGTAATGCATGTATTTTTAACCTGCAAGTAGAGGCAAGAGATGGAAGGCCAAGAACATAATACAGATCTCTGATGAGAACAACAGCCACTGCTTTTCCCAACCTTCTCAGCAAGGCATTAGATTTTTCCCAATTTCATAACTATTCTTTTTCAGAACAACAGGATTTTCTTAAAAGAAGAAAAAAAATTTAAAAAGCTATTTTCTTCACATTCTACTGTTACACACACAGATCTAGGCCTGAGGATATAATCCTACATATTTTTGTAGTATTTTTCAAGTGTAGCCAGTCTTTTGGTCCAGTAGGAATTCTCTGATACAAGCTCAAAACAACGAGTGTCCTACAAGCTTGTCTTTGAGAGGAGAAGAATCAATTTTTCTCTAGTTACAATGTCCTGGATTCTTTCAGGACAGCCTATTGCACATGCTGCAGTGTATTTTCTTCTATAGCATCTGCTGGTTCAGGCAAGAGTAACAACGTTTAGTCCTTTCATTTCTCTGCTCTCTAACTTTTGAGGGAAAAATATTTTAAGGGGCCTTAATTGAGCTTGGCCTGCTGTTCTCTCCAAAAGGAGGGTACCACAGGGTTTCCTTCAGTCACAGGTGAGCAATACAGCTGCAGAAAGAATTTGCCTACAGTCATTAACTAAACACTTAGAAACAAAGCAGCAATAGGCTGGGTTACTTGAGCTTGAAAGGGACCTGTTGGAGATGAGATATTCCTAAATGTGAATTCAGAGGGCAGCATTTTTGTCTGCAGGAATACATAAAGCATGTTGAAAAGAGCTGACTCCCTTCCCCAGGCTCCCAGCTAGCACAGGAATTTTGCAACACTTGGCTGAACTCAAAGCCTGAGGTGTGTCACAGTTTCCCCCATTTCGCTGTTCCTCAGACACATGCAGTTCCATTCTGCCGTGAGTCACCCTGCCAGACAGGTACCTGCTGCAGCAAGGAGGAACTCTGCCAATGGCTTCTTTCACATGTTGTGAAAGGAACACCCAGTACAGACAGGTTTTGCACAGTTACCAACCTCTTTGCATCCATGCTGTTTCCAAAACTAGCCACGACTCCAGCAGCACAAGCCGTGCTCAGGTTCACTCAGTCCATGGCTGCCAGGAAGCTTTGTCTGCCTGTGGCAGCCAGGACCACTCGGCTCTGCACAGCTGTGTCTGTGGCCCAGCTCTGCCCTCATGTCCTGCAAACATCATCAGGGAAGGCCCAGCCATGGCCTCTGCCCTTCTCAGGCCAGATTATGATTTCCATCCTCTAGCTAAGCAGCAAGGAATATTCAAGCTTGAGCTACTTTGTGGCTTGTCTTGTTCTTATGACTGTGTGAATTTCACCTTATCACAGAGTTCCAACTGTGTAAAAATATATAATTATGCCTCTGACTCATTTACTTGGACACATACCCCATTCACATACACCTACACACGCAGTGTATGCTGCTGAGCTACATATGAACACATGTGAGCACTGCTGTGGCTTGTACATTAGAAGTCTATTTTTTCCCTCCCCCAACACTATTTATAGTTTTAGATTTAAACTAAAATACACCCAAAGGCATTCAGTCCCCTCCTTCCCTCTTCTGTCTTATTGGGAGAGACCAGGCAGATGCTGTCTCTGGGACCAAGCTGCTTTTGGGTCACCAGCCATATGCCAGAGTCCCAGGCAGGGTAGCACTCAAAGTTCTCAGCTTCTCTGTCTCTCCTCTCAGCCAGGACAAACCAGCCTTTCGGGAAGTGATCTCACAGCTGGAGCTGGATCCCAAGTGCAAAGGCCTGTCCTTTTCTTCCTTCCTGATTCTGCCATTTCAAAGAATCACTCGACTCAAGCTGCTGGTGCAGGTAAAGTTTTGCTCTTCTCTCTCTCACAAAGGACTTCTGGATCACTCCTGGAATTTTCCTTTCCAGCAGCTGTGAATGGGGCTTAGATACAGCCACAGTGACCCTAGAACTGGATGAAGCCTTTCCACAGAGTCAGACATTCACCACAACTATGGGAAAAGGATTTCAGTCCCTCAGAGTCCATCCCTGAGTTAGTGTTGAATTTGCCAGATAGCTTTTACTGGATGAGAGTTGAGGAGGAGCTTTGTCAAGCTGCCAGAAGGGGTAGCAGCAGTCCATTAATCCAGCTGCCTGATGGTTAGGATGGTGACACACACATGCAGAGCAGATGGATGACACAGGGATGCTACACCATGATGGCTTGGACCAGTCAGCCAGTGCTTTGCCACCTTATCTAAACACTGCTGGAGAATATGCTTCTAGGGATGAGGAAACAGCTCAGTCCCAAATGGTCTTATCCCACTGGGATTACCAATAACACTGTCTATTAGTGCTAGGTCTAGTTATTTATTAATTTATTTTTATAAAATAAGAACCTACCTGTTATATTTCTCTTAGATATAAGGTCAGATGGGAAGAGGTTTTAATGAGAAAGGGGAACTAAGAGGTGAGAGTCATTGTACTGTGTCACCTTTGCTGTAATTAGGCTGATGGCCAGAAGTAATTTGTAGGCTGGCAAACTTTACCTTTCTGTGCTCTCACGTTGGGATCAGCATTAACACAGCCTTTTCTCCCCTGCAGAATATTTTGAAGAAAGTGGAGGAGAAATCTGACAGGGAATCCACTGCCCTGGATGCACATAAAGAACTGGAAACAGTAAGTTTGAATTAGTTAATGGAGGGCCATTAAGGTTAAATCACCATGCTCATTTCACACACACACACACCCCCCTGTAAAAATCCCCTGCAGACGACATTCTGTCTGGGAGCAGTTTCTTAGAATTCTGTCACTGTGTTTCAAGAGGTTTTTCCCTAAAGTCTGAAGGATGGACTACTCTACTTGCACATAGATGTCAGTGACAGCGAATCCCTTGCTAACAATAGATGTCTGTTTCTGCCATAGGAAAGGGCAGAGAATGTTTTCCTTTAGAGTCTCCAAGAACACAAAAGGGTTTTCAGACAGCTGAAGGTGATGGATCTGACTGAGAGGTGTGTGCACAGTACAACTCTGTCAGGCTCCTCCAACACAGCACACTTTTTCTTCTGACCTAGAATAACAGCTTCCTAATGAAGTACACAAGCCAGCTTTTAGCCCTCTTCCCTGAAGCTGGTAGGTAGGTGTGGTGTTCAGTTGTGCTAGTTACTGATGGGTACAAAACCCCACGAAGGCAGTGGGATGTTTCCCATCTGGAATGTTCCTGATATGGTTTGACAGGATAATTCCATTTCTGAATGGTCTAGACATAGCTGGCAGCTACATGGGCTGGGACAGTGTTTGAACCCTTCACCATCAGAAGCTTGGAACATCTCCTGAGTCTTGCAGTTCAACACAAGTATTTGAAGTTGAAAACTGTGCTAGAACATCAGCCTGAGGATGGGCCTGCAGTCTCTGACTGAAGCACTAGAACAGAGCAGGCTCTTGGATTTGCCCTGAACCAGTATAGGAACTGTATGCTTGGAGATCACTAGGGATAAATACAGGGACTTTATAAATTAAGGATGTTCTGCACTGAGTTAGTATTTGCAGAATCCCTCTTGACACATCTGGTAGCCAATTATTTTTCCATTACTCAGTAGCCTGAGGAAGACTGTTCCTGTAGCATGCAGATGACTATAGCCACTGATGGAAAAATGCTGGGTTTGTATTCAGTCATCAGTGACTCACATGATCAGTTTACTAATTCTTTTGCACAGTTAAACATTTATCTCTAAGTGTTTAAGCTGATACCTAATATCCAGCTAGGTACAGGCACACAACAGACCATCTGATGCTTACTTTTTCTGTACATTTGTTTTCTCTCTTTCTATTTGAGAGGCAAGAGATGATCACAGTTTCAGTTACTGGTATTCTGTTGGATTTTAAATAGCAGAAACAGAGCACAAAGTGGAGCTTGTTCTCCAATGCAATTTTTCTACCTAGCCAGTTCTCAAGAGAGTTGCTCCTTATGAAACAGGCAGTGGCATCTAGGTTAAGGTCCCTGTAACAGCATAGTGCTTGCACGTTGGTTGTGGTTTTTCAGTTAAAATTTTGTACTCAGAACACAGCTGGGCTCTGTATGATGAATGTCTCTTTCCCTAGGATATTTCATAGCCCTGGCATCTAGTCCTGTTTGGCAGAACTACAGCATCTGCATTCTTGAAAAAAAGATGTTTGGCTTCATTCTCTCCTTGAAGATGATACTGGAAATGTACCTCATTCCAAGTGTTGGGAACAGGGAAAATGAAATATATGATGTGTCAGATTCTGGAAAACAAGCTGTTCATTTTGCTGTGCAACCAGAAGCACTGCTTTATACTGTCTGGTTCAGTAACTGAATGTAGCCACCTAATATGTCCTCTGACAGTCAGTTTCCACCTGTAACACCTTCTGGATGTTTGGGAGCTTTTTGGTTGCTCAGGTTTTGGGGTTTTTTTGCCCTTCTCTTTTCATGCACCCACAGTGCTGATAAAAGAACTCGGCTTTGTCAATTCTTGTTACAGCAGGTCACTTACCTGATTGTGGTCAAGCCTTTTCATGCTGTCCATCATCACTTACCTGCTTAAGACCAGCAGAGACAAACCTTGTGCTCTCTTTTCCCAGGTGGTGAAAGCATGTAATGAAGGTGTCCGGAAGATGAGCCGAACAGAGCAGATGATCAGCATCCAGAAGAAACTAGAATTCAAGATCAAGGTATAAGCACAGGCTGGACACTTTTGTTCACTGTCTGCACATTGCAGACAGCCTCCAAAGGGTCCTGTCCAAAGGGGCTGCTGCAGGCACAGCACCTCTGTGTGTGCTCAGTGCACACCTGCTGCAGAGGCTGGGGCAGCACCAAGGCCGGTGTGATGTGCACATACACACTTGGGACACCTTGGCATCACCTCTCCTGTGCACTGTGCTCCTGCTCCAGCACTCAGGTCTGGCTCTTCCCTCTTACCTCCCTTCAAAATGCAGGTCAGCTTTCAGCTGTTATTTTACATACAAAATATGTTAAAGGTCAATGAAAGCTACAAAGCAAAACACTTTAAAACTGAAAAATACCCTGACAAAGACTGCCCCACCATTTTGATTAATTTCTGTATTTATGCATTGTGTACAGTCTCTAAATACCTGCTGCTGATCTGTTTCAGCTCCACTGAGGGAATTACTACATCAATATTTAGGGGTATCTGATCAGATCTCAGTTATATATACCAGGTGGTATATCTAACTATATAGTTTTATATATATATAAACACAATAATATATATATCTCAGATATATACCATTCAATTCCAGTGCTGAGTATAAAGTTGTCAGTTCTTTTCTTAAATGCTATAGAGAAGCTTCTCAGGTCTGTCTGCTCCACAAACTGTAAGGATCATATTCAGCTTCCAAGCAATCTTTTTATGTACGTGAACAACAAAAATGAAAAAAATTGGTTTTTATAGAGCATTTTACCAGTGTGCCAGGGCTAGACCACAGTCCACAGGACAGTAGTAGATTAGGGAGGCTACACAGTTGTCTTCACGTGTTGTAAAGCTGAGGCTGTAATGACAGACAGGAGCTGGTTCATCTCTGGAGCAGATCTGCCTTGGGACCTGGCATGGGTGGGGCTCTTCTGGGAAGAGTGCAAGGAGTTGAAAAGATAGATTGTACCACCATCCATGTGATGAGCACTGGGAGTGAAGGTAGAAAGAGTGACAGTTATACAGGTATTTTTCAATATTTCAGTCATTTGGAAGTGTGGTATTCTTCTAGTGCAAGATGTGCTTTGTTCTGGGCTTCTTGGTTTTAGGACAATATGTGTTGAAACTCCAGCAGAAATGCTGTGGTAGGTGCATGAACAGTATCTCCACCTGACAGGGACAGACCCAACCAGAGGAAACCTGTTTAACCTTGTTTTTTTGTAGCCAAAAGGCCAAATCTGTGGTTTTAAAAGTCAGTCTTACTGTTTAGGAAAGTTCAGCCCACGTGACAGGATCTCTCAGAGAGAGATCAGGGCATAGGCTGTTCTTTCATTCCGGTACTTGGCACTCTAGCATTGCCATCCTTAAATATCTGTCCATCCCCAGGCTCCTGCTGTACCCCTATCCAACCTCTGTCATGCTGTGCTGGGCTGTGTGCATGGCAGAGCACACTGCCCTCTCCTTGCAGCTCTGCTCCAGCCTCTGCAGTGCAAGTTGTGGGAGTTCACCACCCTTCCTTTTGCATCTCTTGGTGCTTTCAGCATCATAACTACTTGAATCCATGGGGTTTGGCTGCTTTCCTAAACTTTGCCATCTTTTCCTCCCTTCTAGTCTGTACCCATCATCTCTCACTCCCGCTGGCTGCTGAAGCAGGGGGAACTGCAGCAAATGAATGGTCCAAAGACATCACGAACTCTTCGCACTAAGAAACTCTTCAGAGAAATCTATCTGTTCCTTTTCAACGATCTGCTGGTGATTTGCCGGCAAATTCCAGGGTGAGTGCAAAATTCAGGTGGTACACAGGATACTTCATTAGTTCCATTGCCCCAGTTTTATCCAACCTGTCATGCTGTGACCCCATCCTGTCCCTCAGGCACAGGCACATCCCTTGGCCTGACACGTACACCTCCCTCCAGTAGTCACCATACCTTTGAGCACAGCTGACTCTTCATGGGTGGCACAGCTCTCTCCAGCTGAAAATTCATGGCCAACAGGAGTTTAACAGATCCCAGGGCAGATCTGTCAGCAGGGTGACTATGCATCCAGCAGTTTCTGCAGGGTGGAAGTGAGTTACATTGGCTAGTGAGTTACACTGTCAAGAAGTGATTTTTGACTCATCACTTCCTGAAGAACAGCTCAGATTTAGTCAGTTACAACTGTAAAAATGCCAACTAGAAAGTCAGAGTAGCAGGGAGGGGTATAAATTTTGACCCGAGGCCAGTGCTTCTATTTGACATGGTGTAACCTGCCTGAGGAGGATGTTGTTGTGCTGAGAACTGTGTCTTGTGCAAGCAGATGCTGGTGAAACACAGCAGCAGAGAACAGCACGCCCTTTGTGGCATGATTAGACCCACTGGTAGGGAGCATCTTGCCCGTCCACTGTTCCTAATGAACGTGTCGCCGCGGTGTCTGTACGCTGGGAAATGTTTTGCTTCTGTGGCAACTTGTATCCAGAAAACACAGAGGCACTTCATAAATAGGAATGAATTAAGCCTCACAATCCCCTTTGAGGGAGCGCCATCTGTGTTTTGGACGTGGGGAGCTCAGACAGAGCAAGCAACTTGTTCCAAGCCATGAGGGCTGCCCAGGGCAGAGTACAGAGAGGGTTCCTTGCTTTGCAGTGGGTTTTTATAGCCACACGCTCATCCCATCCCACAGCAGGACACCTTTTCTCCTCTTTCCATGCAGCAGCTTCTGCTCTGTGTCCTCAGTACAGTCCTGGGTGGCTGAACTCAAAGTCTCCTGCAACAACCACAGTTTTTCCTAATCTCTCTTACCTCTCCCAGGGACAAGTACCAAGTGTTTGACTCTGCTCCCCGAGGGCTTCTTCGGGTAGAGGAGTTAGAAGATCAGGGGCAGAGTTTGGCCAATGTCTTCATCTTGAGGCTGCTAGAGAACGCAGATGACCGGGAGGCCAGCTACATGCTGAAGGCATCGTCCCAGTGAGTACCAGTCACCCTGCTGTCACTCAGCAGTGCTGTCTCTTACATCCTGCCTTCATGGGGACCAGATGTCCAGGCTTTCCAGGGATGGGCATGGGGGGATCCCACTGCTGCAGCTGAGCTGGCCCTACCAACCTCTCTGCCCAGCATAACTCCCCTGAGGCTACTGAAAGCCCCAAGGCTACTGGTCACCTAGGCAGGTTTCTCTCCTGCATGGTGTATTTGAGGCCTCTGGGGTGGTGGACAGACAGGCAGTCCCTGTTCTGGGACAGAGAGATCAGAAATCAGCCCAGGCACCAGGCCCCAGCTGATTTATAGACTGCAGCATGTTCAGAAAGTAAAACCAAGCAGGATATACACTCACACACTCCAGAGGCTCCACTGACTCACAAGAATCATGGCCATGCCTGACCCGCCCTGTGGAGTAAAGTATCTCCTGTTTGTGGGTGAAGGTGGGAGAAAAGGCTGCTTCCTCTGTGTCTCCACAGCCAGTGCCAGTCTTGTGCAGCCCTTCTGCAGCTCAGGGCCTCCTTGTCTCCCGGGATACAGATTTTCTGGCTCACTGATTTTTCACATCAGGCTCCAACAAGCTCAGGCTCGGCAAATGATTCAGCTGTGCTAGCACTGACCCAGTTGTTTTGGAGCACAGGGCATGGCTTTCTCACTGACCCAAGCATTACCAGGCCCACATTTTCTAGCCACCAGCTAAACAGCTCCTAGAAACAATGCACATCCCCAGGTTGATGTTGTCTGCTGTCAGCAGGCTGCTGTTCATCATCCATATTCCTAAATGAACACCGGGGTTGCACCCTGACTGCCCCTCACCACCACTACAGCATCAGCACCAGGATAACGAGCCCCCAGCACAGTGAGCAGCTGCACCTTCTCCCCAGACATATGGCTGCAGCTCTGCTGCACTGAAAATAGAGATGTCACTCACACTATGCAGGGCAAGCGCATGTGTGACGTCTGTGAGGCTTGGCTGTGCAGCAAATGATAAACCAGGCCAGGATTTGCTCAGCTCAGGGGAGGCAGTCTCAGGTCCATGCTCTGCATCCTGTCCCATCTTCTAGGTGGCCACAGCAGGTATGTGATCCAGAACATGGCTTGCCAACAGGTCTTGAGCACTGAAATGTGACATACCAACTGCTGAAGGCTGCTGTTTCAGAGATGCAGGAATGGTGGAGGTAGTACTGTGCACAGACTGGAAAACTAAACAGTTAGAAGAGATAAGTGGGAGCCAAACAGAGACTTCTGCATCTCTTCTACAGCTCTTGCACTCTTGCAACAATGCTGCTCAGTAGCAACTTGCAGCTCATGCCCTGGGTGGGCTCTGCCAGGAGCTGACACTTTATTTGGACACAGTCAGTTGCACCGATGGAACTGCAGTGTGGGTGGGCTCTTTGCAGGCTGAGAGGAGCTGCGCACTGTGGCAGATCCATGGAGCCCCGTAAGGATCTGTGTGCAGGCCCAGCATGCAGACAGGGCCACAAGCATGGCAGGACTCTGGGTTTGACCTCCACATGTTATAGCTCCTCTGGGACCAAGGCCCTTGTCCCACATCTTCATGTGATGTGACCTGCAGGTATTTCCACTGGTCCTTGGCATTGTTCTTCATACCTGAAGTATAAAGTATTCCCAACCCTACAGATCAACCTGCCAGCACTTGTCCTTTACATCCCTCTTTTAGGCCCCTCTCCTTCCTGAAGGCACTCCCATGGCTTTTCATGTGTGTCAAGCTCAGGCTTTAAAACCAGGGAAGGTAGAAAACTCTCAGATGGAAGCACAGCTGGTCCTCCAGGCAGGAGCTAGAGCCTGTGAAGGTGAACTGCCCCATTTCCTCATGGGGCTGAGGGAAGCCTGAGGGGAGCCAAGCCTGGGTCTTCTCCAGCATTTGTGAGATCTTCACCCTTCCAACTGCAGGTCCAGATTTTGCAGCATGCTGTTCACTTCAGGCTCCAACAAGGTCTTGTTGCCAAGCAAGTGGTACCTTTGGTGTGCTGCAGTGCTCTTCTGCAAGGGAATTAATCAGCTCTGCCCTTTAAATGTTCCTACACAGCAGTTGCAGGAATAAATGGTTCCTGTAACTGCTTGTCTCCCAGAAAAACTGCTCCTGTTGAGCAGCCCAGCCAGGAGCTGCCTTTGCTTGCTACTTCTCAGAGAGTGCCAGGCCCCCCACCTGGCTGCTGGCTCTTGACAGTAATGCCAGCAGAGGGACCCTCCCCAGAGAGGGACCCTCCCCAGAGAGGGACCGTGCTGCCTGTGGGGGACAGCCAGGGCTGTGCAGCAGGGCCCAGAGCACTGTCACGTGTGACATCCCAACCAGGGTGTGCAGCAGTGGGGCTCAGCATCACCACTGCACCCAGGACCCTGGAGGGGCAGGCAGGAAAAGGCTGGGAGGAGGAACATGAAGCCCAGAACTGGCTGGCCAGGAGAACTAGAGCTCTTACAACTCTTGCATGTTCACAGCTATGGTTTGTCTCCCCTATCCAGGAGTGAAATGAAGCGCTGGATGATTTCACTAGCCCCAAACCGGAGAACCAAATTTGTTTCATTTACATCCAGACTTGTTGGTAAGAGACACAGCATGGGAGCTGGGAGCTCTTCACCCCTATCCCAGGACACCTTATTCTGCCTGATCTCAGTGCAGCCACATACCTGGGACCTATGCCAAAGCTGAACCCTCTCCCTGGGCTCCCCTCCTTTTGTCTCTGGCTTGTCCTGGGCCTGGCCCTGACCTCAACCCCTCCAACCTGGGCTGGGCTACACCAGCACTTTCCTCCCTTCCAGGCTGCCCATGGCTAGCATGGTGGTGGTGACATGAACCCGGTCCCTTCCCAAGAGTTGCTTCCCCAGTACCTGTGGCTGGGGCACTCCCTGGCTTCCCCAGATCAGAGGGACCACGTGCAGAGCTCATGGGGCTACAGTCACCCAATCTGGGCTGTTCTTCAAGGGGCTCCATCCCAGTCCCTCCCTCACTCCTGCCCTGTTTCTTGGCAGACTGCCCACAGATCCAGTGTGTCCACCCGTACGTGGCCCAGCAGCCTGATGAGCTCTCCTTAGAACTGGCTGATGTTCTCAACATCCTGGACAAGACAGATGATGGTATGGGGACAGGATGGGATGGGGATGGGCTGGGAGTCACTGTGGGAGGATGGGCTTTGCTGCAGGCAGGTAGTTGTGAGTTTCTCCCTCCAGCCAGGGAGAGGCCCTGGCATCAGCATCACAGCCAGAGAAGGAAGTTACTGCCTTCTCCTAATAGCCAATCCAGGTTGCCTCAGTTGTGACAACACTGGCACAGCCTCCCAGCACCAGCTGTGAGCCATGGTAGAGCTAGCACAGCCACTTCAGATATAAGCTATTGTTACCTTCATGTTGCTTCACAGCCACGTGGTCCTGCTCTCTGGGGTACTCTTGTAGCTGCTGGTCTCAGTCACATTGGATGTCTGCTGGGGACCACTGCTGTGGCTCCAGGGACAGCTGAGGGCACTTGGTGGCAGCAGTGCCTGCTTTCTGCTGGCATCCTTTGAGCCAGTTATCCTCACATGATGCTGCTCAGGTGAGATGGCCTCCTTGCAGGATGGACATCCTGGGTGTGCTCCAGCACAGGTTTTGAGTAGAAAGCTCTGCCAGCTCCAATGGCTCTTTCCAGCACAGCTGTCCTAGTGCAGGAGCAAGGGCCAGTCCTTCCTCACTTATGCCTGTGTCTGTCTATACTCAGGCTGGATATTTGGGGAACGTCTTCATGACCAGGAGAGGGGCTGGTTCCCCAGTTCTATGGGGGAGGAGATCCTGAACCCCAAAATCCGAGCCCAGAACCTGAAGGAATGTTTCCGGGTGCACAAGTCAGATGACAGTCAGAGAAGAAAACTGGGCAGCAGAAACCGCCAGTGACCACCGGCATCCCCAAGCATCTGGAGTGCCTCAGAGAGACAGAAGACAGAGGCTGCCAGCTGGGAGGAGGTGGCAGCTGTGGGACATTGTGGGGGACCTGGTGCACAGGACGAGGCACACAGACCCATGAACAAACAGACTGTCATTCCTAGGCCCTCTGGAAGCACTGGTCCTTTCCTGGAGATCAGCGCTTTAAACTGTAAATAACCCTTTTCCAAGTGTTCTGTAAAGCCCCAAAGAGCACGAGCTCAGCGGACACTGCCTGAAGGCCACCAGGTGCTGGCCAAGTGAGCCACATGTGCTGGCTTGGGCTGGCTCAGGCTGCTTGGGAAGGGCAGTGGCCACAAACATGAGCAATTGATATCACCCGGTTTAAGCATTAACAGCTCATTGCTACCTTCTAAGTCTGGAGTGCTCTGAACCCAGCATCTCACAGGGGCAGAACTGCAGTCAAGCAGCAGTCTCAACTATCTCAGAGCTCACTGACAACTGCCTGGGATGAGCTTTAGGAACTCCACTGCCCTAGTGCTGCTGTGAAGCTGCTGGACTCATTCCCACAGGCAGACCTTCAATCTGCTTCCAGTCAAATGCTCTGCAGTGCTCCACACTCAGCTCTTCTCCAGCAGCAGCTCAGCCTTGCAAGCCCTAACCCACGTCTTTGCCTGCCTGACAACCTCAAAGCACATCTGGACACTGTCCCGTGGCTCAGCCCCCTCTACCACAGCCTCCCTCCTTCTGCAAGGCCACTGCAGAACCCCAGCATCATGTCCTTTACTGGTTGATCGTGCACTTGTGGTCTTTGCTACGCCCTGCTGCTGAGGCCACAGCAGGGGTGGCTGTGCCAGCAGCATCTCGCCCACCACACGAACACCAGCAGCCCCACAGCAGGTGAGTGACCTTAGCTGGGAGCTGCTGTCCTACATGCTCTGGGAGGCCCAGCAACGGCTGCCTGCATGCTTGTAACCCACCCCCACAGCCTCCCTGTACAGGCTCACCTCCATGTATATATGCAAGTCTTGTGGCCAGCAGAGCCAGCTCATCACTCCTTCCAGCTGTGGCACTGAGCAACGCATGAAGCCGTGGGCACAGCACTGAGAGCAGCGTGGGGGACAGACCCACAGCAGCCACCCCTTGTTCAACAGTTCCACATGTGGCTGAGAGCCTCTCAGCCACAAGCTGGGCCCAAGTTGTGGCCAGCATCCATTAGGGAATGAATTAATTGGCACCTTTCTGTAACATGGCAAAGGATTGTCTTCCAGGCATTGTAGCCTGTGCTGATTGATGCTCTGGCTGTGCCACGGTTGTGCTCAGAGAAGGGACGGAGAGCAGCTGCCAACAGAGCCACACAGGGGCCATGGGCATGGACAGGAGGAGCACAGCCAGGCCAGCAGGAATGTGGGGAGAAAGCAGGATGCTTGGAAGCTGTGAAGGGAGGCACAGAACTGCTCTTTGGACAACATGGTGTGTGCAGTTGGAGGCTGAACACAGCTGAGGTGGATTCCAGGGCTGTCCCTGCTGACACCACAGCCTTGGGCCAGCCAGCCCAGAGCCAGCACCCAGGACCAAAGTGGTGGGAGCCACAGCAGTGAAGGGGAAAGAAGGCATTCTTCACTCAGGCCCAGATCAGTGGCACCACATTAGCATGTGACAACAGCCAGCAGGGCTGTGCTGCCGTGGCCACCTGTGGGAAGTTCATACCAGCCCGTGGTTCCCAGTCACCAGTCACTGCCCAGCCTCAGAGGGGGCTGGAAGACTTGCAGCCTCCAGTCTGCTGCATTGAGCCGATTTAGTGGGGACACCCCAAGCCAGGTCCCTCCAACAGCACCCGACAGTCATCTTTCTGTGTCAACCAAACCTCCAGCTCAGGATTCAAACCTTGCAACAGCCACAAATTCACTAGTGCAAACCCCAGAGGAGCTCCAGCTCTAGGAATTCCTTAAAATTACCTGAGAAATCACCACATCCCACAGCATCCAGCTTTGTGGCCCAGGCCAGCCCAGCCCCAGGCCTGCAGCCCCACGTGCCTACCTGGCATGTTACTCACAGCACAGAAATGCTCCCTTGCCCATTGGATGTTTCACCAGCTGGCCATAGCCAGGATGCCAGCTCCTCACTGCACTGCTCCAGGGAGAGGGGCTCAGTGCTGCTGTGCCATCCATCACTCACTACCAAGCCCTGGGATTGCTCCAGCCCCTCCTGCTCTGCTGCGATTCCACAGGACTCCGGACCCCAGGCACAGGCTGTGCCATTTCCACTGAATGGCATCCAGTGTTATTTCCTCAGACCCAGCCCTGCACGCCTCCATCTCAGTGATCTCCAGTGTTGTACAGGCCAGGCCTGGGGCCCACAAGCACAGGCTGGAGCCCCCCAGCCCTTGCCAGGCTGCCTCAGCGAACTGAGGGGAACTTCTTGTTGTCTGGTTTTTCCGTGTGATAAAATGTAGCTGAGCAAGCCAGTGCCAAAACACTTGTGTGTGTCCTTCCTCCCCCAGGCTGATCACTTGTCTCCTCCCCTGTCCCCTCTGGTGCAACTGGCCCAAATGCAGTGGGTCAAAATGGGGTTGCACATGAACTTGGGGTGGCTTACACCCATGAACAACCCTTTCCTAGGAAAGCTGTGCAGGGTGATGCCCGACACTGTTACCATCACCCAGACTAGACCCAGAAAGATTCTTTTGAGCTCCCTGCTCAAAGCCACACTCTGCCACAGGTTCCTCCTGAGTGGGGTTGACAGGCCCTGCCAGATCTGTGCCACCCAGGAGATAACACACACACCAAGGGCAATGAGCACTCGATGCATGGCTGCCCAGCACAGGGCCTGCAGTGCTTTTCCCGTATCCTTGGCACCATTTCTCCCAGAGCCCCAGGCAGACAGTTCAGGAGCAGCCAAGGGCTGCAGACAGGCCGGTTGTGTAACAGAAAAATGTTTTATTGAGTTCAGGAGGCCGAGAACTTTCTCAGTGTGATGACGACCAAGGCCACAAGCACAGACGTACCCAGGAGGGAGGCGATGACAATGGCACCAATAGCCCCGGGTCCCAGTGAGCCTGCAGGAAGAGAGAAGAGGGCACGAGGTCAGCAGAGACAGTAGGGCCCAGATGGGAAGGGCTGCAAGGATCACCCCACACCCAGCATGTCCCCAGGCATCAGGCCACACTCCTGTCCCAGAGCTCCCTGTACTTGCATGTCCCACATGTCATCCTGTGCACCTTTGGGCAGGGGGCTGTAGCCAGCCACCACCACCTCAGCCAGCTCCCAGTGACAAGGACAGTTGCCACAAAGTGGGTCAGTGGTGCCCAGCTTTCCTGCTCACACACTGGGAGAGTTGCTTCCCTTGCAGCAGGACCAGATCTCAGCTGGTGCTTGCTGTCAGTCAGGAGCCACAAGCCAGGAAAGGCACTCGTGCTCCCTGTCCAGGGAGCTCCCGGCACACTCTGTCCTGCACAGCCCTACCTACACTCAGGGCAGTTTTCTTTTCAGGGCAGGTGCCTGCCATGACAAGTCATGGGGCAGGAAGAAGCCATCTTGGGGCTGGCAAGAGCTCCACAGCAAAAGTTTTTCAGCAGGGAAGTTTCCATGAGCAGGCAATAAGGGCAGCCTTCCCCCTCCCCAGCAGTGTGGCTTTAACCCCTCCCGGGAGGTGACAGTCCCACAGGGAGCAAATCCGTGAGGACATCCCAGGCTGCTGCGGGAGTGAGCCGCGGGCGGTGCCTGTCGCAGTCACTCACCGTCCCCGGTGTCCAGGCGGTGCAGGTGGGTGGTGTCCTCGGGCTCCAGCTCGGAGGTGTACGGGGGGAAGGCAGTGGCATCCGACAGCCGGGCGGTGGCAGTGGCAGCGTCGAAGGGACCGGCTCCAGAGGGCAGCTCGGGCGGCTCGTTCCAGAGGGTGGGGACCGCGTCCTGCGGGTACTCTGCTGGAAGACAAGCACCCGCGGGCGTGGGGAGCCCGGTCAGGCTACTTGTGACAACCACAGCTCTGCGGGTCCCTGGGCTTCAGCTGCCTCCAGGTGCCCTGAGGGCTGAGAACCCCGGTACGGCAGAGCCCTCCTCCGAGGGCACATCACCTCTGCTGAACGGCCGTACCCAGAGCAGGCAAAGGCAACGTGCTTCTGTGGCAACCTAGTGTGCTCACAGCACACACGGGACAACACAGAGTGCCCTGACACCCTGCAACCTCTGCTCGTGCACAAACAGGCCCCACATGAACATCCACAGCTGCTTTACTCATGGATGCCCTTGGGACTGGGCTGGGAAGGGCTGTCACCCTGCCAACAGGCAGAGGCCACCGGGCCACCTGTGCTGGCCAAATTGACAGCATCTCAGGGCCCTTTTGTCCTGCACCACCAGCCCATGCAGTGCAGGATGCTGGAGGTGCTGGCACAGCACAGGACATGGCTCCCCCAGGCAGGACCCCAGAGCCTCGACTTCCCCCTGCTGCACCCCCGCCACACCGGGGAGATGAAAGGCAGGCTGGCTTCTGTTTAATGTTACCACTCGTCTCCTGTTATTCCTTCCTGCCGTGGGTCAGAGACCAAGCCAGAGAGCCCTCCCTGTGTGTGGCTCAGCAAGCACTCCCTGTCAATGCCCAGCCTTGTTCAGGTGGGCTCTGGCAGGAGCAGGAGACATTCCACAGCTCCCTGCAGAAACCGCTGGGAATGTTGCACTGGGATGGGGAAAAAAGCAGGGGGGAGAAAAACGAACAACATTCACTGCCAGGGCCCTCCTGAACTGACACAATGGTTATCAGGACTGGGGAACAGCGAGTCAAGAGCTGGAACAAACAGCCCAAGCTCCCTGGGGCAAGGCACTGAGGTATCCCAGGGCATCCCAATCCTGGCATATGAACCTTGGTGTACCAGGGGCACTTGAAGACTTGTCCCAGGCTCTCTGTGGAGAGAAATGGCAGCAGCACATCTTGGCACTACCAGCCCCAGCTTTAAGTGCCTGGAGCCCTCCTTGCCTCCTGTGGACAGAAGGTGCTGTGGGGGGAGAGCAAAGAATCCTCATTAATGGGCTGCACCACACTTTGTTCTCCCTTAAGACCCCTCCCTGGAACAGGGAGGGCCAAAACACTCATCTTTCCTGAGGGTACAAACCCACTGAGAACTTATTGCAGGGCTTGTATCAGAGTAGCTCCCACCATCACCAGAGCTATTCCACAATCCTGGGAACACAGCAACATTCTAGACAAGTTTTGAAAGCTCTTTCTACAGGCAGAAAAGCTACAGGGTATCCAGCAAGACAATTGCCAAGTTTAACCCTGGCCCAATGAGCAACAGAGACAAGTTCCAGTGTGCAGCCTGTGCCAGTGAGACCCAGGCAGGAACCCAGGCAAAGCTGGGTGTAGCAGAGAACACCGTGCCCTCACACACTTGGTCCTCTGCACCAGACGTGGCATCTCAGCTCCCCTGTACATGCACACAGGTTTGTGTGCCACAAGAGCTCCCCACAAACACCAAAGCCTTTGCAGGGCCCTTCCCAACCTGTGCTGCAAAACCAGCCAGCAGAGCTGAAGACTCATATTCCATCCCATGGCTCTTCCACAAAGTGCCATTTCCAGTGGACCTCTCTACTTTAAATCCCATGGTGTCACAGCCAGAGAATGGAACAAGAAGAAATACAGAATTCAGTGAGAAAAGCTAGTTAACACAGGAGAGAACTGAGCAGAGCTGGGCTATTTAGCTACCAACAGTGGCATGGGAAGCTGTTGGTTTAGGAACAGATCAAACATATGGAATACTTTGGAAGCCCTGGTTCCAGGCTGCTTTTGTAAGGGAGAAACTCCACACAGAAGAGCCACACTCCAGCCATGACCTTCCTGACTCTGTCAACACACCCCAGAGCAGAACCAACACTGCCACTGTCCCCACCTGGCAGAGGAACGCAAAGCTGGAGGACAGCTTTGCTTCCTTTCCCAAGAACGTTTTTTTCCCCAGAGCTGCACACATGCCTTTATGTGACCAGGGACTGGTGCTAGCTCAGATGATCTCTAACAGATGCAGGCACCATCCAGGGAGACTATGACCTGGGCTGGGTCTTCCCAATCCCTGCTCTCAAAGGGAAGAGGAGGGAGCACTATCTCTTCTAACCATAGTGCAAAGGTCCCACAGGTGCCACCAGGCCCAGAGGTGCCAGATAGTCTCTCCTGTTCTCCATGCATCTAACTCCTGCTTAAAGAGAGCTGCCAGAAATTTTCCAGGGCACAGAGCTCATTTTTGATAGCCAATACAGAGGAAACAGTCTAATTCATTTATGATCGCTGTGATTTATAGAAACTTGGATGGCTGCTGGATATGTATTTTGTTAATTCCCCCCATCCAACTGAAACACACTTTCAGTTTGCCCACACAGAAAAGGCAGAATGTGCTTAACGTGCATTTGCTGTCCCGAGTTCTTGTGGTTTTACCCTACTGGCACTTCAGCCCAGGGAAACACAACCCCTTTCAGTCAGGTCTGCTGCCTCGGGAACAGTTGTGAGCTCAGAGGCAGCAGCAGATTCCTGCACACACACTGAGTGAAATACCTGCAGCTGAGCCTCCTCAGGAGCCAGGGCTCACTGCTGGTCCCCTTCTCAGCTCCTGCCCCTCAGTGCTGCTGGAGCAGGTGCCAAGGGCCCTGCTGTGGGCACACAGAGGGCGGAACACAAAGCAAGAGGCAGGTTCCTCCAGAGCCCATTGCTGCAGCCTGGGAGAACATCTGCTCATAACCAGCACCGTTCTCCCCACGTCTCTCCTTGGATTTTCCCTCCTAACCTAAAAGCTCGTGTCTTCATATGCCTCCACTCCTCCAGCTGAGAAGCCCAAGCACCCATCCAACTATCCTCATGCATGCAGCAGGTTTCTTTAACAAGCAGAGGTTTCACACCTGCTTCCCTGACAGTCCCAGTGAGTGTCACCCACACAGCTGGTGGCTGGGAGTGGCAGATCTCTAATGGACCCACATCAGATGCCACAATCCCATTTCAGTCCCCTGGTAAAAGCAAGAAAAGTGATGGGAAAGAGAGTTTGTGTCAGGTACCAAACCCCAACACATGCACACTATTAGTGAAGTCTTATGTCTCCAGGTGAGACACAAGGGCCTTTTCCAGTCATCTGCTGGATAGAATCTGGAGGGATTCTATCTACAGGCAGGGGACCCAGCTCAGGAAGTTCAGTTCTCTGCTCTGCACCTGATGTTTTGGGTGACCACCACAAGCCCTGCTCTTCCCAGGCTCAGTTATTCTGTGCATGAGCAGGACACCAGGATCTAGACATGACCTGCAGAGAAAGCAGCACCAGCATGGCCAGGCCTTCCTGCCCACACTGTCACTCTCACTCTCACTGTGATGAGGGGGACGTGGCCTGTGAACCTCAACAAATGCCTCAGTGACAGCTCTGGAGCTGGCAGCAGCCCTTCCCAAGGAAAGGGCAAGTTGAAAGGAAGCTCCATGGCTGTGGGGCAAGAAACAACAATCTTAACTTAGCATGTAAAAACACCCAAACATGCTGCCATCTCCAGGGAGGGAGTGCAACAAAGAGCTGGAAACTAAATACCAAAGTAAAGTACTGCATGGCTTGTACTCCTGTTCACCTGAGAACTTTGGAGAAATAAAGAAGCAAGAAACACACTCAAAATACATCATCCATCACAAGACCAGATGTTTAATATCTGGGAGAAAGTCATGCATTAGCTGTGCTGCCATCAGTCCAGGACCAGTCCTACCTCTAGAACACTCCTGTGGCACACTCACATGGTTTACTTGCCCTGCAGGGGCAGCCAGGGGCACATGGAGGGGCTGCCAGGCTGCTGAGGCACACGAGTCACCCACCACTGCCAGGCTCTGGGCCTCAGTGCCAGCTGCCCCAGAGGGAGGGAAGCCTCCGGGCTCTGGTATAAATGAGCTCTTCCCCTGCATTAGCTCTGTCTCAGCACTGAAACACAAGCTGAGGGCAACTGCTGCTTTCAGACTAACAGTAAAAGCCTTGTCATGACATGCAAAAACATGCAATAATCTTATTGGCATTTTACTGGAGATGGAACTGGACAAAATGGACTAAAATTATTAGAGTGCTTTTAGAAGGTCAGGTGGATGATGGCAGCTCTTCCTTCCCACATGTTAAGACTACAAATTGTCTTATTTTAGGGAAATCTCTCTGCTGCACTGTCTTCTTGCTCTCTCCAGCACAGGTAAGTTATAACTGAGGTGAGGAAATGGGAAGAAAATATCAGTTACCATAAAGAAATACACGATGAGTTTTCCAAGTGATGCAGGGGCCAGGAACTCCAGACACATGGGCCATAGAGAGATCCAGAGGGGATGATGGCAAATGCAACTTGACAAAGCTGCTATTTCCATGCTTAGAAAGAAGGTGGGGTGAGCTGCCAGCACAGTGATGTGGTGGCCAGTGCCCCAGGTACTCAGTGACTGAAAGGTAGGACTGGAAGTGTGTCTGTAAATGACAGCCCCAGGGGATGCCAACCAAATCTGAAGGAACCAGACCCTCCCCACAGGCCAACTGTGAGATCTTGAGGCAGACAGATGTGGCCAAATCACATCACTGTCCCTGAAGGTTACTTGCCACTGGCCAATTGTCTTCTTCACACAAGCTGACTTCAGCATTTCATCATCCTCACTGTCCACCTCCAACCTAGCTCCTTATTCAGGAGCCAATACCAATATCAGAAATCTGTAAGGAGTGTTGGAGCAAAGCAAGGTTGAGTAATGGCTTACAAAGTCCTGGTTCAAGTGTGGACAGATCTGCTGGAACAACTACATCAAACAAAACCTATTTACTGCTATCCATGTTCTAGAACTTAAGCTTTAAAAAGTTGCCTAATAATCTTTGTTTCTCCTGTAGTTGAAAAAAACCACACAAGCTGCTACAGAAAGATGTTCTTGGTCAAGGTGTTTTCCTGTGTCTTTTCCTTTAGTGTGTGTGTTCTGTTGCTTTTTTCTCCCCAGACTCATTCTGATGTGCTACTGCAGTCAAACATATTTCCACATTAGCTCAAAACAAGCTGAGGAACTCACATGGGAGTTTAAACACCGAACATGCACATGATTCAGGAGCCAATGCCTTGCAAAGGCTTTGCACTAACTTGCAGCTCATTTGGGGCTCTGAATCCATTACAGGAATTGAAACTGGGTTTGCTGATAGGAAAAAAACAATCAGTTCTTCCTGTGCTCTAGGCCTACCTGCCACTTGTGTTTGGAAAAAGAGGAAGTGGAGAAGGCTGAGGTTTGTCAGAGATCCTTGAGCTGGCTGTTTCCTGTTGCACCCAGATATGTGTAAGGGGGTTAAAGATGTGCTTGGTTGCCTCCCCATCTTTGACAAAATGTTATGTTGGAAAGAGCTCAGTAACTTGGAGAAGTTCACACTTTCACCAGTTGCAGAGCCCCGACCATGCTGTCCAGGAAATCAGACCAGTGAGAAGCAGCCAACAGGGAAAGGAGACTCATCCCGGGCCTGGGGGCTGCATGACCCATGGTCAGCCCTCTCCAAGGCAGAGCTGCTCCTGCTCACTCTGCAGGGCTCTGCTGGGGACACTCAGAGTGCTGAGATGAAAGGGCAGGGGCTGGTGAACCCTGAGGCCAGCAAGGGGCTGTCCAGCCCCAGGTGGCCACGGCAGGCACAGGGCCAGGGCTGGGCTGAAAGGAGCCCTTCAGCAGCAGCACAAAGGGCAGCCTGTGGAGGGCAAGGCCAGGAGCTCCTGTGTGCAGCAAGGCAGAGCTGTGGTTCTGATGGATACTGAGCAAACTTGTTTACAGAAAGGCAGGGCTGTGTGTGTAGGTGCTGAGGCCAGAGGGCTGTCTGTGTGCCCTTCCCCTCTTTGTCTGCACCAGGCCGGAAATTTCCTTTTCTAATGGAGTAAAGGCAGAAAAAGTTCCACTGCTCCTCAAAGCACCTGTACTGGGGGCAGGAACTCTCCATGCAGCGGAGAATCATTCTGCTCATGGGGTGGCTTCCTCCTGTCCTCTCTGAGGGAGCAGGGAACAACCTGTTAGAGGCCTTACATCTCTGAAGCACTGCAGAGAAAGCACGGAGTCTCCTATACCCCAAGATCTGAATGCTGCACTCCCCAGTACAAAGCCCTTCAAGCCTCGTTGCATGAGCACAACTCACCCAGTATGAGGATCAAGTAAAACTTGGGAGGCAGCACCAGGCACAAACCACAGCTGCAATGCCAGAGCAAGCACATGGAAAAGCTGGCAAGGAGGGGGGCCAGAGCAAAGGGACCAAATATTGGAAATTTAAAACAGCATAGAAGAGATTCCAGCTTGGAGAGGAAGCAGATTGAATTCTCACTGGAAATTAATCACTTCCTGCAGAGTGAAATACTGCTAATGATTAAGAAAAAAATCTTACCTGGTATGGGGGAGAGCATGGTCAGTGCTTCCGAGAGCAACAGCGAGGCACAAACTGAAACTGTGCTAAAATGATTAATGTTCCACTGCACAAAAAAAGTTCATGGTTTGAGAAGGAAAGTATCTACTTTTTAGTGCTCATTTCTTAGTTACTTTGAAGGTTTCCCTTCAAAGAAGGTGTCCTAGGAGGAGAAGATACCAGCTGCACTAATTGCGCTCCTCCACCCACAGATGTTCCAGCCAAGCACAGTGGTGAATTTCCCTACCCATATGAAAGCTCCTTTAAAAAGAATTCCATAATTTGATCTGCTAGACAGCTGGCCAGATCTCCCTGTGAGGCAAGATGCTCAGAAGAAACTGTGAGAGAACTGCAAAACAACATTACTCCAGGTCTTGGAAGGCAGGACAGAAATTCAGGAAAACAAATGCTGTGCCTGTTATCTTGGCCCCAGCCATCTCTTCAGCCTTGCCTCCACTGCTTTGAGGGAAAGGCTTTGGGGGAAGCAATTCCCCATAAGAGTTTCCACCTGTACACTCAGAGCCCATCAGTGCAGGGGGTTTGGAAGTCAGTTTTTTTCCCAGCTGTAAAACCCACCTCAGACCTGCAGCCTTTGAAGCTGTGCCCCCAGCTCCCTGCAGCCAACACAGCTCTGCTGAAGGCAGGAGCAGGTAAAGCTGAAATTAATAACAATCCCCAGGGAAACAGTGCCTTACAGAACAGGCATCTCTCCCATTCTTCTTCCCATCACCTCACTGCAAGCAAGTCAGAGCCAGGCACTTTTCCAGCACTGCCCTGCTACCCCAGCTCCAGAGCAACCCCATAAGGATGCACACCTTGGCTTTGAACTGGGGTTTTTATGGACACTTCCCTGGTTCTGCCTAAAGCAGCTGCTGTGCTCTGCTGCAGTAGAGAACACAGAAGGAACCAGGAATTGGCACACAGGCTTTAGCCTGTAACTTCTTCCTGCTATTAAAAGCTGAGGGACAGCCTGTCCCACCAATGCTCACAATAGGTGCTACTGCCATTCTGCTTAGGTAAAGTTAAAGGATTTTCTCCACTGAAAATATATTCTTGCTCACCAGCAGCCACCAAAGCTAGTTTCCCTTAATCAATTATAATTCAACACATATTTAGGGATGTTTTCAAAGAAGGGAGAAGAGAGAGGGCAGTGTAGGAAAGGATCTCCCAAACTTTTGGGTTTTAAATGCAAACAAAGTTCCTTACCTGCCAGCACAGCAGGGACCAGGATGCTGCACAGCGTTAGCAGGACCAGGCGAAGGACTCTGTGGTAGGGCATGGCTTCCCTCAGGAAAAACATCAGCAGGAATCCTTAAAACTCTTCAAAGCACAAACAACTCAGAAATTTCACTGGTATAATAAAAATTCTGTTCAGTCAGGTAAAAAAACAAAAAAAGAAAAAAAGTCCTTCACAAGAGCAGCTGTGCAGAGAGAGTGCAAAGCCCAGCAGAGCCTCTCTCTCTCTGGCTCCAGGAGCACACCTCCTCCTAAAGGCAGCTCCACCCTCCCAAACTTGTGCCTAAAACCCCATAGGCAGCCAAGCAGAGCCATCAGGACCCTGCCAGGTCAGTGCACACACAAGCAGTTGTTGCTGAGCCCTTCCCAGAGGCCACGAGGATGCTCCTGGAATGCCTTCCCTGGGGCTGGCCATCCCAAGGCACAGGAAATAACACAGGAGCCATTGGGGCAGCTCAGCCCAAGAGCCAGCAGCCCATTTGAGGGCTGTGCTCTCCCTCACTGTGCAGGGTGGCAGGGCATTGCAGGGTGGGGAGAGCAAACCACAAGGGCCTCAATCTTCTGAGGCTAAAATGCTCTGACACAGAGCCAGAGCAGCTCCATGGCATCCTTGTTCCTGGGTGGAATACTTACAGAGCTGGCCTGGGAGCCATGGGTGGTCTCAGAACTGCTGTCAAAGTCTCCGAGCGTTCCAGGAGAGTCGCCTCCGGCAGGCAATGCCAGCATCCTCCTCAGATCCCAGCTCCTCAGGCACCACCTCCTCCTGCCAGCCTCTGCCACTCTGTCCCTGCCTGCCTCAGGGGCTCAGGACAGTTCACAGCACAGAAAACCCAGGTTTGCTTCAAATCACATTTGCAGCAACAAAGAATGGCGAATAGATGAGGTGTATAAAAAGGGGAACACTCCAGCTGATTGTCACAGAAGTTTCATTAGTATTTTGGAGCTGATATGATGATGAATACTTCATGGTTTCCCATCATGAAATGAATACATAAACACCTCCAATGTCAGTTCTTTATGCTCTGAAAATATGACACAAGTATTTAAGTCTTAAATTTCAGATTCAGATTTTTTTGCAGCAATTGCTTTGCTTTTTGGAGCCCGTTTTCCCCATCCCTACTGATCCAAATGACTCTTGCTACAGAAAAGGGCCCTATTTGTCACAGAAGGTGGCAATGCTGTCACCTGAGCGCACAATCTGCACATGCCACCACCTTACCTTCATAGAAACACAGAAACCAGAGTATTTCAGTATTATGAACAGTGTTAGCTTCCCCACTGGTCCATTATCTACAAACTCCCAGGAGCCAAGTGAGGTCCTCAAAGTTTGACAAATTATTGCACATTTTCCCTGCTTGCATTTCTGCATTTTCATTTAGCAATCGAGAAGCTGTTCCTTTCCTGCCGAGCTCAAAACTAACACACTTTAGTGTACTTGCAACAGGGTGGAGAGCAGTCCAAAATTAGCTTGCAGAAATTAGATCACACCACTAAAAAACCAGAAAGCAATTATGAACCACACACCTTATATGCTAAAAAGAGAAGATATTAAAACAAGTCAGGTTATCAGCCTAAGCATCAACTGTTCTCTCAGACACCAGCTGAACATCATGCAAGCCTACTGTGTAAGTCAGGCCTCAGCATACTTGTTTTCCATGGTCAGGTGAATAGCAGGACATTTACCATTACCTTTACTGGGATTTTCCACACAAAAACAAGTATCAAAAAAGGAAACTAAGTCTAAATAGAGAAACTTCCATGGTTTCCATGTGGACTTTAGGCTGAGGGGAGAAATAAAACACCTTATTTAGGGCAGTGCACTGGAGTGCACGGGGTGGGCACCGACTGGCAACGGAGGCTCCGTGGCCAAGTGTTTGTGTTAAGAGCAAACCAGCCATGGCTTGATCTCCCCTGCATAAACAGCACCAGCATGAATGCACACGTTTCTCTACAGACAGCAGAGGAAAATTAAAGCTTTCTTGTTAGAAATTTCCAATATCAACTTACTGGTGTTTATTTGAACTCTAAAATTATCAAGTAGAAAAACCAACCAGTATTCCTCACCAGGGAAGAAATAAAGCAGCAGCTGTTGTTCCACATCCTGTGTATTTGCTTGTTGTTTCTTGATGAAAACTGATGCAAGTCGAGTTTGGGTGGGTTTTAGCACCAGGAATTATCTCAATACTCAGCTTTGACAAAAGCAAGCAGAAAGTTTTCTCTCAGATATAATACAACCAGGTTTTATTTAAGTTCTCTCTTTTTTTCCCCCCCCACACTGGCAAAAGTTCAGAGGGAGTTTAAAGTTTTGTAAACATTTTAACTACCCCTCTTCCCCCTTTTATGAATTTACAAAGCAAAGGAGACAGGGAGACCAGATTTGCAACAGTTCCAAGTCTCTCCATGCTATCAGATCCAAAAACTATATACAAGTCTGCAGCAGTCTCTGTATAGTTACTGTACATGTTTGGGGACGGGGGAAGAGAGAGGAGGAGGAGGGGAAGGTGACCCCAAAAAATGAATAAACCAAACAAAATAAAACCCAAAGCCAAACTGCTCTTGAGCAACTCAAACTGTTTTCTTTAGGCAGTGATGACAGAATAACAGACACCTTTATACAACTCCACCAAAACTGCAGCATATCTCCCTTTGCAGGTTACACCCCTCTGGGGACGGGAGATGGGACCAGGGGGGTCAAACTAAGTGCATTTGGCAGTTTTCCTTCTCTGTCCTTTGTGGTGTGTGTGGGGTGGGTGGGTGGGTTCGTGGAGCAGGGAAGGTGGTGTTAATCTTTCGGTGAGAGAGGAAGGTTATAACTCCATAAACACTTAGAGGTTATGGATCCCAGTGAAGGTGCATGAAGTACTTTTAAGGTGTAGAAGATAAGCAGGGCCATCATTGCACAAAGCTTCGTCCTCCAGTGTCTCTCTCCGTGACGAAAGGGCATCTCTGCTCGATACCTAAGCACTGCTTCAAGTGACAGCCAGCTGAGGCTGCTGGCACGTCTCTGAAAGCCAGGGTCCACCCTCTCCAGAGACTACAGATCCACACTGTAAAGATCCCACTGTCTCTTAAACGAGACAAATTTGCAGGAAAAGAGCTCAAAATAAACTGGTCCTAACCCTCTGAAGGTAGCACTTATGGGGTAAATTCAGCCTGAAAGAAGAGATGCCACCCCCCTTTTTCCAGAGCAGAAGTCCCCACTTGTCCAGGAAGGCTGGAGAATGCCGACAGGAACTCCACCAGCTTCAGCATCACCACCTAATGAAGACAGACTCGAGCTTTCCCTCCAAAAATTATGTGCTGAGAAGGGCTGGCAGGGGGTGTGCAACTTCAAACCAACCCAAGCTAAACTGTGCCCACTACCGCCCCTCTCCTGTTGCCAGTTTCTAAGGGTAGCTTATGAATGCAACTCCTGGCCAGGAGAGCACCTCTTGCCCTGATGGAGCAGCCAAGTCAGTATCTGTGTGGCATTTTGGTTTTGACCAACATCTGTTAACCACAAACTCTCTCTCAATCTCTCTCTCTCTCTCTCTCCATATGACTGCACGTGTTGGATGTGGTAAGAGTAACCAGGAGAAGGAAGCAATGCTTTGCAGAATCCCAATTGATTTTTTTTTTCCAGGTATGTCAGCAGAATGAATCACAGCACAGTGAAAGCTTGCTGCCCAATTCAGCCTTGTTGTGAACAAAGCCTGACTCCCACCCTCCCGGGACTCTGAGCAAAGTCCACTCGAGTGGGCTGACAGTAGAACAACGCCTGTGCAGTCCTGGGCAGAAAGGGTTTGCTGGGGCCAGAGGAAGCAGCCTGAGATGATTGATCCTGTGATTCACTGCGAGGCAAAGAACAACACAAGGTGGAGAGTACGGTGTCCAAACGGAGAATCCATGGTTAACAGATGCAGGAAAAGCCAGTTGATTTGCACATGCTCAGTAGTCTTCCAAAGTCTCTATTTCTCCCATATTGAGCCGCTCTGATGAAGCATTCACTGAAAACCCTGTGAACCAAGAAAAACTGGTGTTATAAATCTGGCTGTGGCATAGTGTACTTGATACAAAACGTCTGTTGAATGCAGTCCCATGTGTAAGAGAAAGTGAATGTAGGGGTAATTCAGTAAGGCTACAGCTGCAGTCACCCAAAATGACTGATTTTTTCCTTAATAAACTAAAGATAATCAACTGTATATTTAGACAAGCATCACTTGGTCTTTAAAACCAGATCAGAAGACTTTTCAAGTTCCATTTAAAAGATGTCACCTGCAGAGCTAGTAGAAGGCACATCTACACATGGTGGCAACATGGCTCTGCAACATCTCAAAAGGGAATGTGTTTAAATCAACTGGCTCTTGAAGTGGCTGTCAACACCATACTTACATGGTCTGAGAGGAAGAAATGAGCATTCTGAGAACTTGGAATCACACATGGAATTATGCTCCCACATTTCCGAAGTTGTGAGCAATTTCACCCTTTAAAGTCTCAATGCATGTACCTGTGACATCTAGTAGCAATTACATCTATATCCATGCTTTTTTACAAACTTCCATCTCAGGAGTACAAAGTGAAAATGTACAAAGTTATCCAGGGCCACGCAGGTGGCTCAAGATGCACCTCAACCCTTTAGCCATACGCGTTGAGGACATGACGCACATGAGAAAAGTGCGAGGAAGAGTGAAAACCCTTTCAGCAAGGAAACAAATCCAATAAATCAAATGCAGCTTTCCTACTGAAATCCCTTTTTTAAGTGTGTACAAGCCCCATCTGGAGTATGAGAACAGGGAAAGTTCCCCTGTGTAAGGCTACTAAACACGAAGTTGAACTTCAGTGTTTCAGAGTGTTAGATTGGTTTGCTCTGTGCTAGACAACCAGCTGCCTTCCACTTTGAGAGGCAAGAAATGCTCTGTTCAGGAGGTTTAGGAAAATTGTTCTGGCTCCCTCACGTGGCAGTGTGGCCTAAAAGCATCTGAAATTATTTTGTAAAAGAGTGAGTGTAAGCGTTTTTAAAAAGCTGCACAGGCTTCTTCCCTTCCAGTTGGAACTTCTAAATTGTATGTAATGATTTCTTCTTCACATTACACCAGTTGTTTTTTTAATATATTCAATTGAGTACCCAGATCAGAGTCAGTGGATGGGCACCTTGAGGTGGCATAAGTCAGGATTCCACTGAGAAGTTCCATACACACCAGTGCAGAAATCACTGATCTAGCTGAAGTACTGACTTTGGTGAGACAAAAAATAAAAGGAAGACGAAAACCAAAGGCAGGGCTCTGCTAGAGCCTTAAAAAAGCAGTGACTTCAGGTGGACAATACCTGTCTGCTCTACAGCAATTGGGCTCAGCAGATGCAGCACAACAAAGCCTGGCCCAGTGCAGTGCCCTGGTTTCCCCTCTGTCACAAAGGGCACAAACCCAGACATTTATTCCATATGAGCACAACAACTGTCACCCCACAGTGTCCATGCACTCACACAAGGGCCTTGTACCTTAAAAACTACTTCAAAGAAACTTTTCCATCAAGTGCTACAGGGGCTGGTTAAAACTAGCCTCACATAAAAATTAAGACACAGAACATAATAAATAAATAAAGGACTGCTAATGAGGTCATCATCTCCACGGTCTCCAGCTGAAAGTCTGTGACCACTTCAACCTTTGCTGTCTTTTCTGACTAGGGTAGAGGTTATCTTCTGGAAAAAGGTGGCAAGGCAAAGGCAGCCTCAGAAAGCTGCTTCTCATAAAGGAAGGAAAACATGCTTTTCTTCAAAGAACAAATCAGCACTAAAGCAATAAAATAGTCATAGGTCAAGTCAATGGAGAAAAGGGAATTTAACTGAAACACCTGAACTACTTAAGAGGTGTCCAGGTAATAACCCAAAGAGTATCAAAGAGGCCACTACACGAGGGAAAGTTCAACAAAAATTTTCCATGAGACTGATACAGAATTTTTCAAATAATTAAATAAATAATAGTATTGAAAAGATTCTAAAGACATTCCAACTTTTCTACTCAAATTCAGTATTTAAGGTCAGTAAGAATCTTCTACATTCCCCAAAGCAAACGACCACTACCAAATTAAACATTAATTTTTAAAAACTGAAACAGACCTAACAAGCTGGGATCTGCTCGAACCATTTTCTGTTTCTTCTTTTTCTTCCCGCTCTGCACAGCCTCAAAGTTGGACTGCTGGTTGTTGCTCTGATTGGTCTGAAAGACTGAATGTAGCGAACTGTGGTTCATCCCCCACACTGAATCCTAGAGAACAAATTAAGGACAAGATTACAGAGCATAGTGAAGTCTGGTTTATTTATACAGAAAATATTCAGAGAGCCCAAAGCACTTCCTATATCCATGTGGCAACACTAGCTACTGATGTATCCACCTCATCTTCCCACAGCATTTCCCAGATCACCATGCAAAAACACTCTGACCTACAGCTGGCCTCAACTGTCAAGGTGCTGCCTGCAGCCTGACACAGCCCCAGGGAGAGCAGAGGCTCCTGTACCTGCTGTTGCTGCTGTTGCCTCTGCTGACTGGCTTTCTGTTTGGCACGGCGCTCGAGGAACTGCTTGGCAAACTCCTTGGCCTCAGGAGTATCTCCAAGGTAGGCTCGGATGTAGTCATGGACCTCATAGGGAGACTCCACTTCCTTCAGGAAAGATACAAACGTGGGAACTGCAAGAGGAAGGCAGACCCTGAGTGAGTGTATGTTGATAGCAAACACACAAATGCAATAAACACTTTTCAATTTCAAAGTGTCAATTTCTGTGTCAAATATTTGCTGGTCTAGGAGCTTGCCCTTCCCAGTTTCCCACAATAAAGCCTTATCATGCAATGCAGGATGGAACTGGATTCTCATCTATCTGCCAGATAATGCTTCCATGACCACCAGAAAACCCCAGGAGGGCTCTGGCTGACAGACTTCAGAACTTTTTCAAATCCCACTGATTTGCTATAGTTAGGACAATGAAAACCTAAAAGAGGATGCAGCCAGTTCTTCTAGCCACTATTTAATGATGTCCTTTTGCTGAGTGCATTGGAAACACTGGTTTAATATCATTACAGTCCCTCAGAACTACTCTACCAGGAAACAGAACAGATAGTGCTCCCCTCATTTCTTTCCATCTCTTACCATCTAAGTTGTTGGCTGTGTTGAGTGCATGAAGCATCTGTTCACACCACTGAGTGAATCCATCCTGGGCTTTATTAACCCCCTGGAACAATTTCAACAGCTTCTCTTCTTCTTCTACCTTCTTGTTTTGTCTACTTGTAATACCTACAGATTTACTGAGGTAAAGAAAATGCGTATAATCAGATTATCAGTTACCAGGCTTACCCACAGCACCATATAGAGTACAGTCTTGTAAGACTATTTTACAAGATGAAAACACTTTTTAAGAACAATTTTCTAAGCAGGTGAGAGAATGAGCTCTGAATGGTCACCTATTAGCTATTTTTGTTGTCAAAACAGATCCTGAATGACACAGAGAAAAAAAAGGAAAACATATGATGTTCCACTGATGCAAACTGATCATGCCAGGAGTAGCAGTATTTCTTTGCAGAAGTTCTTTCCCCAGTTCCTACCTGAGGCTGGCATTGCTTTTGTTTTTATTGGTCGAGTTACGAGGTCCCACTTCCTTCACTGCATCATCCCAGAAACCCATGTTTGAGTTTTTGGTATCAGCATTGCTCCAGATGCTACTGACTAGGTCAGATGCCCACTGGTTGCTGGGATTCGTGTTTAGAGAGCCCCACACTGAATTCCCAATGCTGGTGTGCAGGTTAGAGTGCTGCTGAGACATAACAAAGAGATGCTGGTTATTAGCACAGACCCAGCAGAAAAGACATGAACAGACAGAGGGAACTGGCCCAGCTGCTCTCCTCCATGTAGTGATAAGATAAATAAACGTACCGTGGTATTTCTGACTCTGTTCGGCTGCTGGTGCTGCTGTTGCTGCTGTTTCTGCATCTGCCTTGCCTCTTCCTGCTGTATCTCCAGCAGGGACTTGGTGGTGCCTGTTGGTTTGGTGACATTACCCCAGCCTGACAGTTTTTGCTGCTGTTGCTGCTGCTGTTGCTGGAGTGCCTTCATTAGTTCACGCTGCTGACGCCTTTGCTGTTGCATGCAAGACAAAAATGCTTGTAAATACTTTCATATGATCATTCCTATTCAAAAGCCTAGCTTGGAAACTGGTTTTAAACAGCATTCACTTTCTTCTGGAGAAGCCTGGCTGACCTGTTATTGTTCTCCAAAAAGGGAGACATTAGCTAACCAGTAAATAAAAATTGTTTATTAGCCTTGGACAGACTAAATTTATCAAATCATTCCTGCAGTCAGCTTCTTGGAAGATTATCTTCTCTCCTACCATCACGTGCTCCCTCCCAACCCACCCTCCCTTTAATTGCCCTGGTCTTGTGAATAACTTCAAACATGTTAGAATATACATGTGAAATAACTGTAAACTGTTTTGTGAACGTATTACACTCCCAGGGTTAAAAGGGTGCTCTTTTCCCTTCTTTTGGACTCTTGTATTAACAAGTGATAAAAATTTTCACACAAGTGCTTACTGAACCTATGCCTGAAGGACAGGATTTTGAGTTATGCTATTTCAAAAAAACATTCCTCATCCTCACCATTCCTTCTAATAACTGAAGTGACAGCTAAGCAGTCCCAAAGCTGAGTCCCCTCTAACAAGTTGCACTCCGCTGCTGTCAGTGTTTACCTCTTCTCGGAGCTGCCGTTCTCGTTCTTCTTCTAACTTTTGGATTTCAGCCAATGACAGTGTGGTCTGGGATTGACAAGCTCCTGAATTTGATTGCTGACCCCATGTCGAAGATGAAGGGAGCTGGGCCAAAAGAGAGATCATCAGGAATTGCAAAATATTTGAGAACACTGCTAGAGTATAATCAGGAAAGAAACTGTATAAACCCAGGGGAAAAGGAAGGCCACCTTTAAAGTTTAACAAAAACCTAGAAAGTACAAAATGGTATAACAATAAAGTATGAAAAAGTAGAAAACACAGATTATACATTCTTTGAATTGCCCTCTGATGTATCAGTCTTTGACACAGTATCAAGAATAATGTAACACATCATTACCTGAAGAAAGCAATCCATTTAGATTTCAAATACTTCAGGAATTCCAAGCTTTAGAAGCTTTGCACTGGCTCTCGCTTAAAAACCATGTGGCAAAAAACCCATCTGTGCCCATGTGTGATGTCTTCCCAGTATGCTTCCACTGACAGAACATTTTCAGTTTTTAATTTGTAACTTCTCTTCCTCTTCCTTCTCTCATCAACTCTTTACTCTCTTCCCTCTCCAGACATCTCATCCATCCCTGCTCTACCTGAGCTACCACAAACAACCCTGAACACAGCTGTGTCTTGACCTCCCATGCTGAAAGGCAGTAAAGCTGCAGGGACCAGGTTACCTTCATTTGTGCAAGTTGCTGCTGTTGCTGCTGCTGCTGCAGCCGCCGTAAAGCCTCCTGCTGCTGCTGCCTCTGCCTCATGATCTCCTTCTGGCGCTGGAGTTCCAGCTCCTTGCGCTTCCGCTCCTCCTCCTCCAGCCGCTGCCGCGCCGCCTCCTCCTCCATGCGCAGCCGGCTCTCCTCCAGCCGCCGCTGAGCCTCCTCCTCCTCACGCGCCCACTTGGCGGCCTCCTCTTCCTTCCCAGGACACAGAAAGGAATAAGGTCTGAGGAGACTTCACACAATTTAAAATACTCAACTCTGTGGCACTGATATTCGGACAGAACAGAGAGGGACCATGTTATTCTGAAGGCAATACAAGGTTAGAGGAAGTCCTTGTAGTTGTTGTGTGCTCCTACCCATCCTGAGCACACTCAAAACACACCAGGCAACAGTGTGGAAGGTGCTTTGTGTAAATAACCTCACTCTGGGTAGCAGCAGTTGTAGGACTTGGATTTGGAGACTGTGCAGTGGTGGTACAAATGTCTCTGACTTTTCCTGAGTAGCTTTTAGGGATACACTTATGAGAAGGGGAGCTTTCCCTGGGGGTATTGCAGATCTGTGAGTCTGTGCCTGTTTCCAGCTCCCTGCCTTTGTGTTTAAGCAGAGCCAGAGAGCTGAGGTGTCAGGGAATGGGTTGGATTCAATCTTGAAAGTCTGTTCCAACCTTGTGATTCTGTGATTTGTAATCTGTGCTGTCTGTGTTGTTCATTTACCTTTACATTTCTCAGTAATATATTTTATATTTCCTAAAAATAAATGTTTCCCATTGCTCCACCAAAGAACTTGGAAGAGAATGGCATCTCCCTAATTCACACCAGCTCATTTCTTATTACTTTCCTTCTAGTAGTTACACACCCTTCAGTCTGAGCTTCTGCCTGCTTATACTACTTACAGTACCACCACACTTTCAGTGGAATAAAACTTGGCAGAAATAACAGGAAAGAAGAGACAGGTGACAAAGACGGAGATATTTACTGTTGTTACTCAACAGCACAGTTCCAGAGAAGACACTTCTGCTAACAAATTACAGAAATGGTGATGGACATCTTACAAAGGAAGACCCTGAAAAGGTATTTTTAAATACTAACTGTGAATTCTGAAATGGACTTGGAAGTTAATGTGGAGCCAATTAGTTTGACCAAGGGACTGAGAGAGTATCAATTAGGGGACTGGAAGCTTAAGTTCCCCAATAGGGACTTCTAATACTGACCCCAAGAAGAAAAAAAATCCTGTTAATAAGAACAAAAAGGAAAGAAAAAAAGTTGAAACTCTGGTAGCGTATATAGACTTGGCATTGCACAGAAAAACTGCCAAAACTGACCAATTCAGATGATACTGAAGATAACAAAGTAAAGGCCAGAGAGAGCTAATTCAAATCAAACTGTTATTCTGATACTGTACTCTGCCTCAGAAAGGAGTATAAACACTGTGCTGCAAAGCCACTCTTAAGGCTAAATTTGAAGGGAGAACACTCACTCCTCCCACCCTAAATCTCTTTACTAAGGGTGTATTAGATTCGGATTTTGCCTGAAGCCAGGATACAGGTAAACAAGCTTTTTTCACTCAATTTGATACTCTCTGCAAGCTCTGCTTTCTTTGACAAAAACTGTTTTGACCTCTCAAGCACTGGTGCAAGTTTCAAGCCTGTTTGTTGTGGCAGCCTCCATAATTAAACAGAAGAGGTCCCTTTTGTCATTTTTCACCTGTTTACGGATTAACTCCTCTCGCTGACGCCTTTCCTCCTCCTCTCTTCTTCTCTCCTCCAATCTCCTAAGTGCTTCCTCCTGTTGTTGCCTCTCCTCTTCCTCCCGCTGCCGCCTTAGTGCAATTTCCTGCTCCCGTTGTCGCCTGAGGGCCTCCTCCTGAAGTTGGGAACAAAATGTCAGTCTATAAATGCCATTTTATCAACAAACAACATCAGAACACACATCACAGCATTGTCTGGCCAAATAAGTAGCCTCAAGAAAAGCTCCCTAGCTCCAAACTAGCTCTACCAAAACAGTGCATTAAGCACAACAAGCCCACATGTAGTCTGATGCAATGTGCATCTCCTACATAAATTATTTTAATGAAAACCAGAAGACATTAATTGCCCATCTTTGGTTTTAAAAATAATGGCACTGAGAATGACAACAAAAGGTGAGACTCCTCTTTTCACTATGTAGCACTAACAGTTGAACATTAGATCTATAAATATTTCAAAGTGTGGCTATCATTTAATTCCTTCTGGGGGAGCTGTCAGCTGTAAGTTGGAAGCTTTTCCTACTTACAGGAGTTTCTGAATAGTGACTGTTCAAGAGCCCTACAAAACTCAAACATATCTCCAGACAACAGAAAGAAGCTGATGCAGCCCAGTGCACTTAAGGACAGTTACATTTGAAGTCTCAAGGGCTTTGACTGGGCTATCCCTATACTATTTAAATTATGGGCAATAAGAGATCTCTTAGGGACTTTGATTTTGGATTATCCCTAAATTATTTAAATAACTTCCAATAACTTATATATTCTGTTTTCCAAGTACTAAAATTGTTTACTTAACTTAAAAATCAAATATTAGCACCCTTTCCTATCAACCGAAATGGACATTTTTCCATTCTGCTATTTAGGTTTTTTTGAGGAACAGGGGACAAGTAGGTTCCTGTATATTGTTAAATGGGATTCCACCTGGGGACCTCTTCCACCAGTTCTGACTTTCCCTTGCATAAAAAAGCTGTAGTTTTTTCAGCCTTTTCTGACCAGTGATGTTCAGCAACTGAGTTAAGGCCACCCTCCTTTTCACCCCTCCTGTTGTCTGACTTACCCTACCAGTTCAACCTGAAGATCTTAATTTTTGGACCAGAACCTTTTTAAGCTTTTTGAATTTTGTATTTCCCTTTAAAAATGGCCACTACCACAAGCACACTTCTGCAAGTTTTTAATAAGCAATACATTATTCATAGGATGAGTGGGGATTAATTGTGCAGCACAGATGTAAATTCTGGTAAATCAAGGAAGTCAATTGTGAAAATTAGGACCCTTTTATCCAATCTGACACCAAACCTTCATGTACAGACAGCACAGATAAACTCACTACAGCTCCCTGAACAACTGCCCTGGGTTTTTCTCTGACAATGAATTTCAGATGCCTACAACAAAACTGTCAGTAGACAGAAGATCTTTTATAAGAAATCCCATGGCACTGAACAGGTGCTGGCTGCAAGCCAACAATTCATTCATATTCCTGAATATCACTTAAGTGGTTTGGTGCTAGATATAAGTGCAGTAAGTGGGTTTTTTCACTAACTGGACATAGAACAATAGCCTGTGATTCATTTTCTCATTAATCAAATCAGCTTCAAGTGCAAGACATACCACCTGAACCATTTTTGAAATTTGGGCCGTTAACTGTATTAACTGGACACATGCAGTCAAGTCACAGTAATCAAGTGTCCCCAATAAAAGTGCTGGAAAATTTCAGCTTTTATTGAAAAGGCTGCTGAGTAGGCTGAAGGTGTCAATGTTTTTTGTTTGCCTGGAGACCACAGGGCAGGATCTGAGCTCAGGAGTGCGCAGTGCCAGCCACTCTGGGGACTCTCACTGACACAGCACATAGTACCTGGGAGAAATGAGCAAAGTCACCGAGTCCTCCTGTGGGACAACCCTTCAGTGACATCTCTGCCCTCCTCCCCCCTTGGGAAACAAGGCCAGAATTGCCATTAAAAAAGCTGTACAGATCTCCTTGCTCAGGCAAGGAGAGACACTGTTGCATGACATGAGTAAAAGACTTCTCTCCCCTACAGAACTAAAGATGAACAGTGTTTTACTAACAAAAAACCCTGTAAGAGATGAAAAGCTGGGAAACACAGCCTTTTTTCTGGCTCTTCACAACTATAAAGATGTTGTCTTAATATTTATTTCTGTATCTCATTATTTGATGTTTTTGTTTGAGCATGTGACCGAAACCATTCAAAGCTCTCCAGCTTTCTGCCACTGACTGGTATGGGAAACAGTCCTTTGTTTCTTAGTGTTCCCATGTTTGTAGATATCTGCTCCCAGACATTCCCAATGTTCTTTAGCATCTTTCTTAGAAATTGTTTTCACACATCTTGCTGTATAGACAGCTTATTTCACATCTTTTAAAATATCCGTCATATTACAAAAAAATCCTTATGCAGCAATCCCCAGTTCAATAGACTCTGGATTTTTAAATAAAATAGAGAATTTTTTGCAGTCGGTGACAACTGCAATTCTGCTTGTCTGTGTTACTAAGGCTCACAAATCTTTTTGTTCTCCTCTTTGAAACAGGTATTTTAAAGGGAGAAGTAAAGAAATAATTGAGAGAAAACAATTATTAACTGGTTATTAAACCTCAAATTTTGTTCCCGAAAGCAATCAATTATTACAAAATAGAAGATACCAGACCAGAGACAAAAACAAAATACAGGAGCTACACAAGCTGGGCATTACTGTTTTCAAGTCTACAATGCAAAGTAATTGATGAAAACTGTGAACAAAACTGAATTCAACATTTGGTATGACATTTCAACCTACAGAATTGAACTTCTATTAGGTTTGTTTTTTTTTTTTTATTTAGAATTCACCATCAACAGCATATTTACTAACCTTATATACTAGTCTTTTATGCAGTATTACATCAAAAGCCTTCCTGAAGTCCAGGCAGATTAAGTCTACTGCTTCACCCCTCTCAGCTCTCACTGTCATCTCCTCAAAAGAAGTTAATCAAATTTGTTAAGCATCATCTCCTCTGCATAAATCCATGCTAATAAATCAGTTCATCCCTGATTCTATAATGCCTTTTAGTACAGAAGTCAGATTCAAATAATGACCAGTTTCCTTTTTTAATACAGAATACAATGTTATTTTCTCTTTCCAGAGAAGTGCTTAAACTCTTTGTTACCTTTTCAAGACATTACTGCTCAGAATTAGCATTGTGGCAATAATTGCATTGGTAATGAACTAAGATACTTGCTGTTACTGCTTTCAACCCCGTTCTGCTTCCTTCGTGTAAATTGTTATTTCCCATGGCATCTCAGAACAGGAGAGTCAGACTGTTTGCTGTACAAATCCAAAGTGGACAACAAAACTTTGGAATTTATCAGACATTGTTATACACAGAGGCAAAAGTGTTAGTGAAAAGAAATAACCCAAGTCTACTTGAAGCCAGCACAAATGACACAAATTGAGTTATCAGCTGAAAAATGTGTTCTTGTTATTGAACCAGATCTAAAGCAATGAATCTCAAAAGTTAAACTTTTGAGTATATTATTGCTTCAGTGTTACTTTGACCTCAAGTGGAGGATGCTTTTCTGTACGGCATAATGACTTCCTGCATACAAAACAGATACACTAAAGCAAGGAGCCATTTATTTGCAGACTTGATTCCAAAAGATATCATGAAATTATCTATGTATTATACTGTACCAATTAAAATATACCTTCTGTGACAAAACCCAAACCCTGAGTGAAGAGAGATCTACAATGATCTTCCAAACAAAACTAGAGATTCTAGAGGCTTCCTCAGAAGTGTCTGATCCTTAAAGCAGGAAAATGCTTTACAGCTGCCTACCTAAGCTTGTAAGAAATATTATAAAGGACAGAATTATTTAGTATTTTTGCCTGTAATTCATGTGGTATTTTTCAGGATATTTACTAACTCCCTAGTGAATAAGCTCAGCCTTGTGCTTGCCCTTATCCTTCACATGCAAAGTGAAAACTTCAACTTTTACTGTCTTTCCCTCCTGCAACACTTAAGGAATAGTTACATTTTCTTCCATACAGAATTCAGAAGTAAATGCTAGAAATGCCAAACTAGTAATGTCTCCATTGTGTATTCCTGGATGATTAAGAATGTACAATTCCTAAATTCATTCCCCTACTGCAACAGTGATCACACAACTCTTTTTAAGAAATATACTTGATCAAACTGCATCCCTTCCTTTCCCAAGTATCAACTCAAGTAAAAAAGTTGACAGACTCTATTACCCATATATTAATTTATTTTAAAAAAATTTACTAGGTTAAAAAAAAGAACAGGGGAAAAATAAGCTGAATGTCACATCACTTTTTGTCCACTATAGTCCTCTACCTCTTATTCATTTGAAACAGTTGCTCAAGCTCTATCTATTCCAGAACTTATCTTCCTAAAACACTTGACTGCATAAATAGGAAATAAAGATGAAAACATGCAGTAACTGGGTAACTAACTAAAGTCTAACATTGACATTAAGAAGTTGAGAGGGAATATTCCACATGGAATAAAGGCCCTGTTCTCACCAACAGAAACCTATCTTAAAGTGAACCATCAAGCCCATTTCTCAGATTGAAGGCTGGGCTCTTAAAAAAATCAATAATGGAAGAATCATAATATACTCACATGAAAAATATTAAAACTGTCTTCATACACACCTACCAAAGATTACTTAGACCCCACAGGATTCTTAAAGTGAGTTTTATAAATTATAATAATTAATTAGAGATTAACTACATTGGGGAAACTCACTTGCTTCCTGCGGGCCAGTTCTTCTTCTTCCCGTCGTTTCCTCTCATCTTCCTGCTGCCTCCTAAGTAGCTCTTCTTGTTGCCTCCGAAGCTCCTCCTGCCTTTTCCTCTCCTCTTCCTCTCGTTTGGCCCTCATTTCCACTTCTCTCCTCTCTTGCTCTAGCTACAATTCACATAAAACTATACTCAGATGCAGGTAACGTATTCCTACACCATTTCTTAGGGCAACTCTGCTGACAATATAGGAACAGCTTAACAGATGAAGCCTCTAGCAGATGTTCTCCCTTAATTGCAATTTTACCTATCAGCTGGCTGCCTACTGAGGTCAGATTCCTGAAACAGTCCAGAACACTTTTGGACAATTTCTGTTTGTAACAAACACCAGTTTTCCAGTCAATCTTTCTACATCAGCTCCTGAAAATACCCTCTGACTTTAGAAGTGAGTATTGAGTTGCTTCGCAGTTATCATAAAACAGTCATTTTCAGGAAATGTACAGAATGATAGAGGTTCAAACGCACAAAAAACTTAGTACTACAGTATATGTAGAAGAACCATAGAAAATAGGACTCTCATGATTCCCCAAACCAGTCTGGGTGAAAATCACAAGGATTAGGAGCACAACTACTTGGTCTCAACTCAGGGTTTGGCCTGACAGCTCCCGATGATCGCATTTTAAAACAGGTGGCTAGTGAAGAGGTTTTAATCACAAATGTAGAACACAAACACTATTTCAGAGGTCAGTAGTACCTCCACAGCAATGGTTTCCAAACAGCTGTACACAAGGATTTCATAACTTGTTTTTATAACCCCTATTCTCTTTATGGTGTTTTCCATGAAAATCTAGTCAAAATCATCCATTGAAGAGCTGAGTCTTCCATTGGCTCAAGAATCACAATTACATTGCAGAAGAGCAATTCCCACTTCTTACAGTACAAAACAGTTTCTGACCTTTGCAGCCTTGGCCTTCTCAAGCTGCTGAAGTTGTTCTAGAGCTGGTCCCTGAGCTGCAGCATCAATGGGCAGATCCCAGACACTGCTTCCTTCCCAGACTAGACAGTGAAGAAAACAAACATTGACAAGCAAATATAAGCACATGAACAACACATAACTGAAAGGGGAGAATCTTGTGTATGCTGTTACTACGTTTTAGGAACTAAAATCACGTTAACACTTTTGCTTTACTCAGTAGAGGGCAACCTTATCCTCCTGGATAACAAGGCCAGTCTGTGACTGAAGGAAGGCTGGGAATCCCCTGAAATTCCACAGAAAAAACAGCTATTCCAGCTCCTCCCATCAGAGCAGAACACCCTTAAAGATCCCTTCACACCCAGACTTCCATAACCACTGGAAAAATTACCATATTCTTCACCGCTCTCAAATGGAATTTCTACTGCCAGGCAAAGTAGGCTAATCCAGTTAAGCATCATTATGCAGAAATAATTTCCCTTTGTGTCAAAAAGTGAGGGATCATCTCAAAGATGCTGATTCTTAACACATGGACTTTTCCCAAGAGACCTGACCCAGGCTAAGCACCTTACCTGTAGGCTGTGAAGCTGACTGAAGTTCCCATATTGAGCCAGTGTCCGGCACTGACACAGACCTTGTGACAGGTGGCATCATGTTCTGTTCAGATATTCTGTAATACCAACAGGAAGAGTCAACACGCCACTTCCAGGGAGAGGAGTGCTCTCAACACGTATGAGATTCAGTAACTTGTAACATACTGCTTTCCTTCCACACCTCTATTCAAAACAAAAATATGATGTGGACAACAGTAGTTGTTTGCAGAGTTCTTGCTGATCTCACCCCTGCTAAGTCAAGGGCTAAGCTACAGTTCTGCATTTGTTGCTTAGAGGTCAGTTTGAGGAACAAGCATCCAGTACTGCAGAACTGGCAAAGCTCCTCGGTGACCAGCACAACGTATCTGTCAGACAGGTACAATTCATCTCCTCATGTCCATAATCACTCTGAGGCAAAGATTACATATATAATGAAGTACTCCATATTCTGAAACTGTTTCCTATTATTCTGAAACATACTTATATTCATAACTATCTTTAGCACATATAATCCTAAAATATGAGAAAACTTAACTAGGACAAACAGCTGACACAATGTAATTATTGTTAAACACAAACTAGAGCACGGGAAGAACAGAATTCAGTTCAAGTCTGGGCTAGCTCACCTCATCTTCAGGGCCTGGAACTGTTGAAGGAGAATAGCGAGCTGCTGCTGCTGCTGGGATGAGAGGGCTGCCTTCTGCTGCTGAGCCAGCATCTGTGCATACTGTTGTCTTCAAAAGAGAAGATAAATGGTATTTGTTCACTTATGCCCAAGCTGCAGGCAGATTTATGCTCTAAGGACTAATGCCCACTGACATATCTAATGTACATACTAAATACTAAAGGAAACCACAGAACAGGAGCTTGGCAAGAATCAAAATACAAGAATACAGCTAGTTGGCTCACATAAGCAGAACCAGACTTCTCTTCACCTATGTCACCTGGCTATTACTGCCTCATGTTTTTCTTATAAGTTGTGCAACACTACTTCCTTTTTTGTCTAAATTCCATAATTTTAGCTCAAATTAGTCCAGCTCGATCACTGCCCACCTGCAATCAGTCTCTTCCCCAGTATGTCAAGGCATTGCCTAGCACAGGAGCAGGCTCTTGCCTCATTCAATCATGAGCTAACAATCAGTACTGAAAAACTATAGTCATGACACATGCTTTCAGGATCCCCTGAAAAAGCAGTCTGACTGCTTTCTTTCCTTCAAGCTGTCAAGAGTTGGCCATAACCGAACAACTGACAGCCTTGGGAAAATGGATTTCAAACTGCTTTGCCCAGCAGGACCTTTCACAACAGACCAAAGGTAAGTTCCACCTTCTCCAACTCCAGATCCAAAGATGTGTAGCCTTCTCCTGACATCAAAATATCTGAAGGTCATTACTAGGACACCTGGGATTCAGGCTGACCCTAACAGCTACCTATAAAGCAAGTCTCACCAAAATCTATGCGTGACACTGGAAAGGACTCAAAGTGCCTGAGGCAGACACACTGCCCTAACCCTGTGGACTAGAAACATCTCCAGTGTTTGTGGAAGCAGCTATTGCTGTTGGAGGTGAAGCACCCCCAGCCCCACTGACTCTCCAGATGACTAAAAACACAGAACAGAACACAGCCACTGGAAGATCTCTGGGACAAGAGGTCTTACTGTATTAGAAGATGCTGATACTGCAGGTGCTGCATTTGGATTAGAGCCAACTCTTGTTGTCTAGTCAGTCGCTCTTGGTCCAGCTCGCCCTGTGTTCAGAGATAAAGCATTCTTTTTCAGTAACATATATACAAAGAGTAGTAGATTGCAAATGCAAGCAATGTAGAAGTTGTATTTTTACCATTAAAAAAAAAAAGCGAAAATAGAAAAATACCTAGACATCAAGATTTAAAAAGCCTGTGAAATGCACAGCACCTTTATATATCACAGTACCCAGCCTGCCAGCCACACCAAGCATTTTTAAATTACATGTCTGTTCTACTCTTGCAAAAGTAATCTAACACCAAGTTCAGCTTTGGTGCTTGGAACACCTGCAATTCCAAGACAGAGTAGATGGCACCTAAATTCAATTCCCACTTGTTAGAGGAATATTTCAATACTGTAACGTCACATAATTACCAGATGTGGAAGTGGTGCTGGGCCTGGAGTGAAGGGAACCCTGCCCCACATTTTCATGATGTCTCCAAGTGGCTGGAAAGTCTCATCACAGGCTCTCTTCACCAACAGTGACATTGTGAAGTATCCAGCCTGGAACCACTCTGCCATCTCCTGATTACTGAATGGACCTGAAATGACATCAACCAACACACGTTGTGGGGAAAGGGAAGAAGGCCAGGTTCAGCACGTTGGAAATAAGGAGCTGGCTGTGGTCACACAGTGCCCAGCACCAGGCATTGCTGTCTGCCTCATCCACTCGTGGGGACACTGCTCATCCAAGGCTGGAGTGTCCATGCACACCTGCACAGGGGCTACAGCACTGCCCCACAGCCTCAGGAAAAGTGCATGATGGCTTTCACCTTGCCTTGGAGGGAGACAGGTCAGCTCTGGGGTGAAAGCCAAGCAGCCACCACAGTGTGGGGCTTGGTGCAGTTAATCCCCCTGCTGTCCTCCAGCAGCACTTACTGCTTCAGGCTCACAGCTTCCACCCTGGAGCTCAGCAGCACCTGCTGCCTGACACTGCTCACGCCACAAGTGCTGCCTTCCCCACTGCACTGCACAGATAATTAAACAATCTTAGCCTGCTTCAACCCCTGCCTTCAAACCAGAGGAATCCTCATGTTGTACACAAGTTTTGCTTCTGGAACTTAGTAGCTAAACAGATTCACCTCAAGTGAACAAGTACATTTTTTAAGATAATGAAGATCAAGTTTCTTTCCTTTGTAAAAATCTACATTTTTCCTTCTCTTTTTTCTAAGAAAGATTTCAGTCATGCCTTTCAAAGGAGGGTTCCTATATTAATTTTACGTATTCAAATACGTAGAAAACGAGTATAAAAATATTATTTAACCAAGTAAGAACCACATAAATAAGTTCTGCAAGACATCTTCTGAAAAGTAGGAACATTGAGTAACCATTGCCTTCTCTGTAAGGAGCTTCTTTAGAAGGCAATTCCTCCTAGAGAATATGAAATCACAAGAGGTTATCCCAAGAAAAGAAAAATTATTTGGCAGTGTTTGCTTCTTGATGTCACATTGAAGTACTTAATCCTACAATAAAAATATTTAGATTGCCACCCACCAATAAACACCGAGCAGTGACTGACATACACTGAGCAAATAAAAGCACTTGATGGTTAACATTCTTTAAACTAAAAAGAGATGAAAAAAACCCTAACGATGTGCAATACCTACAGACAAGAGATTGACACAGATCCCACAAACAACATCCCCACCAATCCTATGTGGTGCTCACAGCTGAGCAGTTATTCCCACTACACTAGTGTGAAGTCCAGCAAGGAAGGAATTCACTGTTTAACTGCACTTTTGGGAAGCAGATAAGCAGCTGCTAAACCAAGCCCTAGGACCTCCAAAAGAAATGTACCTTCTGAAAGCAAAGGTGCAAGTTATGAAAGTTAAGAAATATGAAAGGCCTGCTTAAAATCTTATTTACAAAAAAAAATCTTAAGCAAAAACTGAAAGCAGGGAGCAGTTCCTATCTATTAGATGAACTAACAAAGCAATGGCTGCAAGTGCAATTTAAACTGAGATTCTGCACTGGCTGCTGGAAACTTGACTCCTCTTTGCCCTCGATTCTAAACAAATCACCCTCCCTGACTATTCCAGGTCTTCAGGCTGATTTAAAGGCTTCTTGTGGATTCTTTACAACTACTTGAGTGGTCACATTCCTTGCTTGTTTCCACTGTTATCTGGACATCTGAGTAACTAATGGTATGTGAAACAGGTTTTAGTCTAACCTAATTTACAGGAACATGAAGTCATGGCAAACCTCAGCCCTGATAACGCACAGTTCTGGACGCTCAGCCTGCTGAGCTCATGGGGGCAGTGATGGGTTGAAGATATTTTCAAAACCTATCTCTAGAATGGTAAATTCCCTGTGCTGCTTTTGTAAAAAGAAGCTTCAGCATCTGTTGGTGGTAATTCTGTGAAGAACTCTAACAATTCTGTGAAACAAAAGAGGAAGTGTAAATGGCACAGACCTACCCTGAATTTCTCCTTGTGGATCTTTGTAGTACCACTTCTGCATGGCTTCGTGAAACAGGGGCATGGAGGAACCCTTTGCTCTGTGCTCTTGGATTTTTGCTGCTAGTCTTTCATCATCAAGGGCACTGTCCTGCAGATATGCCACCATTTTTTCTGCTTGCTGCAAGAGACATCAAAACCAGCAAGAAATACAAGAGTTAGATGGGGGCTTAGAGATTTGGAAATGAGTGTACCAAACACAACCAACCTTGTGCTACCCAGTGCTCCAGAGTGTACCAGGAATGACAGACAGCCCCAGGACAGAAGTGACCGCTACACAAACCTGGAGCTCTGTCTGCCACACTTGTCAGGCAGAATCCTGAGCAAGCACAATTCACCTGCTTACAAAAATCTTTAGAGCAACTTGCCAAGGAGGTCCCATGCAGTACCACAGAAAAATAAAAAAAGGCACGAGAGCATGAGCACAAAGAAGGTTCTACATCTCAGCAGTCATTACGGTTCCATCAACACAGTGTTGTGATTTACTTACAGAATTTTGGTTGGCTTTTTGTTTGATGGTTTGTTTGTCTGGGGATTTTAACAGACATACATAATTTCTCATACAAATCAAAATGCTACTTAACAGTGGTCGTAAGCACTATGGTCTCTAGCTCTTTAAATCTGGTATAGCATAGAAAAATACAACAGCTTGAATTATTTGCAAAAAAACCAGAGAGAAGCAGCTTTCAGTATACATTGGGGAGTGTAAAGTTTTAGCTGCATTTCTGATTTTATGGGCTTCAAATATTTGCTGCATTCCACATTCCTCCAGTCTCAAGACTGTCAACAACAAAGGAATTAGAGAAATTTTACCTGCTCTAGGTGTTTGAGGCCCTCTTCATCATCTGGATCAGTGGGAATATTGCCCATGCCTGGAGCAGCTGTGACAGGTGTTTGAACTGGCCGCAGCGCAGGATTTGAATTGGAAACAGGAGGAGAAAGATGAGCAGAAGCAGCTGTGTCTGCAGAAATCTGTGGCAAAGGTTGAGCAAGAGAAGCCAAATCTAAAGAAAAATGTTTAAGTTAGTCCATTATCTTTAACATAAACAACAATTACTTTTAAGAACTTAATGCAGAGAATATTCAACAGCTCAAATTTAGCACCAAAGCAAAAGATTTTCAGATTTTCCTGAACGTACTGCTTAGAACACAGGTACCCAGCCTCACTTCAAGGAACAGTTTAGTTCTATCAGTGCAGAATTCAGCACATTTGAGCATATCCCATTTCCTGGCCACACACATTTGTCCAGACTACTCTGCTGCACCACAGTGAGGCACATCCACAACAGGCTGATGTTTCTCTGGACTGCATTTCAGTGTGAAGTACCAGTGCATTGCAAGCATCTGAGATGGCATATCCAACAAATCCTGTATTTATAGACCAGTTGGTGAATCTGGCTTTCCATCACCAGTGCTTGCCTCTTTTTAGGGGCCAGGATTAGTCACAGTGAGTAATGGAAACTTACTAAATTTATCTGTCAGGTTTATTACCTTCCCCTCTGTTGGACATTTTGGCTGACAGTGTATTCTCCACTCGATTCTCTTTATCTTCTGTTTTTTCTGTTCTTTCTGGCACAGACTCTTCCTTCCTTTCAAAAAGATTTGTCTGCAGAGGGTCTGGAGGCTGGGATTTCGGTGGGGTGTCTGACCTGGCAGCCGGAGATGATGCCTGAGCTGCTTCTTCCACTGCTTCTGCAACAAGGCACAGGTCTAAGTAACTGATTCAACAGAAATTCTACACTGACAGTTGCAGGAGAAGTCCCCCCTACCTGCCACTATTCTTTCTGTTTTCTCCCCCTCCTTCTTGTTCTTTTCATGATCTTTGGCTTCTTCATTGTGGCTCCCTTCAGAATCAGACCTTTCCTCCCCTTCCTCCACAGGCCTGAAGTCCATCTCCTGTTCCTCTGGTATTGGCTCCTTCTGCACTTTCTGCAAAGTCAACGCAATCATCCATAACCCACCTGACATCACAGGACATTTGCACCGAGCGACCCAAGGGCCCAAAGCAGCTTTTCACCTTTAAAGAGAGAAACGCTCCAGAGGAGTCAAAGGTGCCCATCTCCTCCTCTGCATCCTCCAAGCACCACTCAGGGAGACTGTCCCTGTCGTCGTCCATGCTGCCGCTGCCGCAGCGCACGCGGCGATAGCCCCGCTCGTCGTCTCGGTCCCGGAAATCAAACTCGAACCTCCGCCGTCGCTCCATGTGCTCCCGCCAGCCTGCGGAATGAGGGCCGTCTAAGGCAGGGAAAGGAGCTTTACCACACAGGCCTGGGGCAGTGCTCACACAGCGGGGAAAGGACACTGACAGCAATTCAGAAAGCTGCTACACGGTACAGCCCACCTATGAACAGGCAACTTCAAGGACAAGGCAAATAAGCAGAAGACTTTCAAATATTGTCTGCTGTATATCCTCACATAATAAACTGTGGAATAAGCATTAAAAACCACTAAGGCTAAAAAAGCTTGGCTACAAAATTTAGAACAAGCACGAAAATAAGACAAGCAACATTAGTTGCCAACTGAATTTACCAGCCATCGTTGATTTAAGTCTTTGTGGCACCTTTACTTGTGTAAGATTTCGTGTCTTCCTTCAGGGGTTCTGCAGAAGTCACACCCTGAACAAAACACCCATGGTTTTGCCTCTTGCCCTCAGATATGTTTTTGTACATATACATGAAAAATGGAGTGATAACTGTTCAAATACCTTTTAAAAGGACTGGTCGGTTTCTTGAATAGTCTTTTTAACCATGGAATAGCAAAACTTGGGAACATAAGAAATGGGAGAACATTCCCAATTCATATATAAACTTCATATTCAGAAAACACCATCATTCAGCCAAGCTTCAAATCCCCTGAGTGCAATAATGTTATTTAAGCTGTAAAGAGCTGGCTGCTAAGGAAAACAAATTGGGGGTGAAAGGCCTGTACACAGCTTTCCATGAAATACAAGCCATCTCTATCACAAAGGTGCAAAGAAAGATGAAGGCACCTTAGAGCTTTTCATGGTGGCTGCTTTTAACTGGATAAAAAAATAAGTAAATTCTTTTTTTTACTCCAACAATCTGTGTACCAGAATCAGTGCAGCCTCACAGTATCAACTGTCTACCAAAAAAACCCAAATCACAGTAAAGGGGAGAAATGTGGTCCTGTTTCATGACTAATGAATGTTTCCACACTGACCTTAATACCCTAACTATTAATATTAGCCATGCAAAAATCCACCTTTGTCTCAAAAATACAGGAAATGTAAAACAAACTGTTTCCAGAAAAATTCTGAACTTCAATCTTAAATTTTACCAAGGAAACACAAATGTTATCCTTTAACAAGGCCTTCACTATTCCCTACGTGTTTATTTGCAAATAATTCCACCAGATAACCTATGCTTCTAGTTATGCCTTGCAAAGCAAGTAGTATTAAGCCATCAAATCAATCTTCTGAGGCAATCTTTTTGATGTTATTAAGGAAAGAAATTGAAGTGTGAGAGGTTGTTGACAACCAGACAGCATCTCTGATGGAGTCCCTGGACAGACAGCTCCTCATTACAAGCAGCCATGTCCATGTCAGGGCTCCCAGCAGGGGAGAGAAGCCTCTATTTGCCCACAGTTCACAGGCCAATACCAGGAGTGCAGCTCTTCATAGTGAGACCCAGAAATGTGGTTTTTGAAGGCAAATTCTAAGCACTTTGTTAAAGCCCAACTATCTTCAAAGTTCAAATGAAGAACCATTTAGTCTGCTTGCAGAGATTTAGTTACACCACCTTTAACAGCCCCCAGATTTTCAGAGCTATGTGGAGAGGCAAAAAGACATTGGTGTAGCAGACTCATGCCCGTGTTTCTTAGTAACAAAATGTGTTTGTAAAAGCCCAGTTAGAATGTAGGTCATAATTCAGGTCTGAAATATCAGGCTAACAATCTTTTAAAACAAGCCAAGAGGAGAGATAAACCTGAATTCTTACCTGAAGTTTTTTAGCCAGCAGTTAGGACACAAACACAGCTTTAAGTTCAGCCCCATACTATCACGAGGCAATAGTTACATGCTCAGCATTTGAAGTGAAGAGACAATTTCAAGCTTAATTTATCCCTTGCAACTTATGGTGACATTGTAGGTAAAATCTAGATAGGACTACTGGCTGCTTCAGGAAATCCAACAACACATTAGCTTTATTAATAGCAATTTCTCTCTTCAAAGTTATATTCTCTAACTCAGCAGTGAAATTTTCAATATATACTAAAGAATACTAAATGCTAAACAGAACACTTAAAGGAATAGCACACCTTTTTGAGTATATATTATATATAGACCTAGTTCTTAGCTCAGTTTTGAAGCAAGATTCTCTAATGTACTTTAGTTGCTTCATGATATTTAAGAAATGCAAGGAACAACACAAAAAAGTTCAATTCTAGTTGAATTACAGCACCTGATTCTGAAAGTGGAGTGAATAGAGATGAATTTGAAAAGCCTTTCAAACAAAGCAGCAACTAAAAAATCTTTATATGAAAGTACAGCCTAAGGCCTCTCTCAAATGCTTCTCAGGAAAAAGGCCAATTTGAAGAGTTATTTACACAAAGACACAAAATCATATCAGAAATTCTTGTTAAGAAAAACTTATTCCTATTCCTTAAGGCTGATTTGGTAACCAAAACCATAAACATCTATAGATCAGCCACTAGTTTTGAGACCACAACAGGTTTGTATTTGTTTCTGACAAAATAGACTTGGCCTTGTAAATTTAAAAGGCAATCATTGTGTGAATAATGCAAGAATTGTAACAACAGAGAGGGGGCTTTTAGACATTTATAATTTTAAAACATGGTTAAAAATTTAAAGGAAAAAAAAGAACTTTGAAGCAGCCAGTGAATCTAAATCTGTGATCACACTCTTCTAGCAGTTACTAAAGCCAGTGTAAAGATCCTAGCAGAGAGTACAAAGAGTCAATCTACAGGAAGGACCAACTAAACAAATGAAAATAAGTCCTCTGAAGACATTTCTCTTTTTTTAGCAGGACATATGACTGTAGTATTACCTAACACCAGCATAGTATAAAGAAGTAGTTTAAACCATGCCAATTTGATTTAAGCTCATTTAAAAAGCAAAAATGTGATTTAAACCATTTTGATAGTTCTGTGGCTACTACTAATAGGAGAAATCAAATCCAGCTCTGATGAAAGCTGGAACTAGGGCAATACAGCTGTCAACTCAGGGTACCTCAAAACTGGCAACTTTTCTGCAGATTCACATAAGCCTTCAAACAGGCTTTCAATGACAGATGCTAAAACTAACTTGGTAAAGGAAGATCAGTTAGTTTCTACTACACTGAAAATTCAAATAAGCAAAATTTACATGACAGAATTGAAATTTTCAAAACTTTCCTCAGAACAACCAAAAAAGTTCAAGACCTGAATGAACTTGTGAACTCTGAGGTCTATGCTTCCTTTGTAGCTAAAGCATGCAGGCTGGTACTTGCAGAACACTCCACTCCTGAGTATCATGCTGCATCATGAGGTAGCTGGCCTGGTGTTGCCTCAACTAGATAACAAGGCAGCAGTGTCTGATCAACAACTATGACCAAACACTGGGGAAAAGAAAACTATATTCTTCAAAATTTGCCTCTTAGCCTTGCTCTAAATAGAAAACATCTGATGATAAATCAAGCCTTGGGCTCGTTGCTAAATTTTAGCACAAGAGAGCAGCTGTTTGAGAGCAGAGTTATATACAGCTATGAAGAAGGCTCAGAACAGGCGTGATGGTTGCTCCCAACAATAACTGTACTGAAAGTCTGGGAAGTTGAAAAGGGCAACAGAGCCACTGCAAGACCAAATGAGACTTTTTTTTATTGAACAGAAGAAATTGTCCACCTCAGCTCCAAAAGTGTCCTGTGCTTTCTTTGCTTGCCTGTCAAGTTTAGCATGGAGCAAAGGACGCTCAAGCAGGGGGAACTTATCATCCCCTAGAACTACCAGAAAGAAGGTTTAGGTTGGGCATTAGAAGCAATTTCTTCACTGGAAGGGTTGTCAAGCATCAGCACAGATGCCCAGGGAAGTGATGGAGGCCCTATCCTTGGAGGGATTTAAAAGCCATGTAGATGTGGCACTTAAGGACATGGTTTAGTGGTGGCCTTGGCAGTGCTAGGTCAATGGTTGGGCTCAAACAGCTTTAAGGTCTTTTCCAAACTTAACAATTTTACTGTTCTATGAAGATGTAACAGTAGAAAAGCCTAATCCTCTCCTGGTACTCCAGAAGCCTTCTGCAACCAAAAGACAGCCAAACCCAGGATCCCACACCAGGTACGACTGAATCTTTTCCAAAGAGAAGGAGAAAAAGTCTATAATCTGTTTCAGTCCTACTACTGAAGCACTAAGCTCTGCTTTTTATTTCTCCTGCAATTCCAGCAGTACAATGCTGCAAAGCAAGTGAACAGACTTGCCCTGTCAGGCATGGGAAGGGGACAGTGAAACCAAAAAGGTACCTGACATTTATTGAGACAAGATATCCTGTAACTAACTACAAAATGCGTAGAGCAACATATTTTGAGATTTTCCAAGGATGCTTCTTGGCACTGCAAACACATCTGGAAAACTAAAAGTGGTCAATGACCAGAGTGGTTTAGTGTCAGTGTCACTCTGCAGCATTAGATATGTTGTCTGATATGGGTGATTTCTATCCCCTTATTGTCACAGCCACAAAGAAACAGTACTATTAAAACCCCTTATTTTACCAGGTACATACACACCTGGAGCACAATACAGACAAGTGCACACCTGGGAAGTAATGTTCTCTTAAGTACGTAAGGATACTGAAGAGGCTAAAAGGAAAACAACAGGCACACAATTTTATGCTAAACATTTCGTGACCAAGAGCCTCACACATGCCAGAACAGTATTCAATGACCAAGACTACATGAACCTATTTTTCCCTGAACGTGGCACCTCCCTCTCCTCATGGCCTTTGCCCTGTCTCAGCAACCACAGCTGCATGTTTGGCCCGCTCTGCTCTCACCTGGACTGTGAGGACGCCACCTCTCCCCATCCCTCCGTGACCCAGCCAGTCGCCAGCCTCCATCCTCATCTTCCCCATTCTGCTCCTCCCTGAAGATGCGCCAGTTCTCGCTCTCAGAGCGGATAAATTCGTGTTTCCTCCCTGCGGTCACTGTCCCACCTTCCTCAAAGTTTGGTCTCACTGCAAAGAAAACACAAGGCCAGTGAACATGTGTCCGGTCTTTAGAAACACAGAAATACAAAAGGGTTGAAATCTTGCTCTCTTGGAGGTAAAAAATGCACCAGAAGTGATTATAGGAACCTAGGAATAGAAATTCAAGAAGGAAACATGACAGATTTAAGAAATCCAGGTGCCTATGTACCTTGGGATGGAAAGACAAAAAAAAAAAAATCCAGAAGGAGGTAAAGCATATAAGTAATTAGAACATGGATAGGAAAGGCAAAGGAGGAAAAGGCAGTTTAAGAGATGTGAGAAAACAGAAAGAAGGCAAAAGTGTGCAGAGAAAAAGAATAAACTGCTTTATCGTGAAGTGTCTCAAGCTAAATGGGAGTACAGTGGAAATATTTTATATAAACCAAACACATTTCCTACTTCTGTAATAAAAAGAAGGTGAGTTCTATTTCTTTTATCCAACATACAGCAGTTTAACTATTAGAAAACACTGAAAATTTAAAGTAGCACTGAGGAATAAACGAGAAAAAACTTAGCAATGTTAACATTATGCTGTGAATCCATCTTCTGGAGAGCCAAGGTCAGTGCATGAAGGGCTAGAAGCAATTATGCCTGAGCTGAAGAAGGATAAGTCTACTAGAAGTTTAGGAGACAGGATAGTCTTTTAGTTCCCAATGTACATTATGTTGTATTTAAAACAAAACATAAAATCCTCAAATACTTATGAAGAGAAACCACATCAGAAAAAAATGATATAAATATTTTTATGAAAAGACTCCACATTATACACCAAGATGTCCAAGTCATACATCAGTACGCCAAGGTTTAACACAGATGCTGCTTTCACTGCTGACTTGCCCTGACAAGACAGCCCACCACTGAAATAAGTTTCTTCAGCTGTGTAGCACCAGAATTGTCACAGGAACCAGAGTGATGTCATTTCTTCACTGGTACTATTACCCAGTGTTAACCTGAAATTGTGGTGTTATCTATAAAACCAAGTTTTTCAAGTACTAGAAAAAAGTATATTGAATCTTCCTTATTAAGAGTCCTAAAACCCAAAAACGTAAGATGTTATCTGGTGAAGTCTGTTTGGTGTGCCTGCTTTCTTAGACAGGAAAAACACAAGAAAGTATGATCATGTACAGACTCCAGGGGTGGAAAGAGACATTTTTAAGTGTTTTGTTTAGGAAGCATGGGAGAATGCTTTCTTAGCATAAGGCAATTTTTTCAGTCAATGAAAAAGATGAGGAAACCACAAAGATCTGAAATTCTGCAGCATACCAGATCTCTGTTTAGAACAGGAAAATTCTTCCTGCTAGAGATACTGTACTCTGGAGGCAGGAAGCACACACTAGATTTCTACTTTGCATGCACCTTGGAGAAAAACTGACATCCCTTCTCCACCAGCTCAAAACATTGGAGGGAAAAAAACCTCTCTCTTTCTCCAGCTCTAATTTTTCTGGAATATCTTCCCCTTATGTTGTTCCTACATGAAGAGCTAAAGCACATTGACTAATTTCAAGTCCAGCACCAGTACCTAATTTAAAGTTAAGCACCAGTACCAACAGGCAATGTCAGCTGTGAAGCCAAGTATGACCCAGTTACACTTTTACTTCACTGAAGGGGACATTTGGCTGAAGATCACTTCTGGATTTGCTGGACTTTGAGAAACAACACAACCTGCAGACAGTGTGTTTTGGGGAGTCTCTGGTAATACTCCAAATGAAACAAAATTGCTAGAGGCACTCAACTCCCTTCATTTGGTACTTGTGATGCTGGCAACTTTTTATCTGGAGTGGATAAATCTTTGCAGATGAAGGTCAGCCACATTCTGAATTCCCGTGCATCATGGAAAAGAAAGGAAAGGAACAAGCCAGGCAGAAAAATCTAAGTCTGGGAATTTATTTTTTTTTTAATTTTTGGTATCTCAAAAATATAATGCAGACTACAGTAACAAAAAGTGCATGGAAGCCTCTCACCATTGCTCCTGGATGGGCTTCCCATAGCAGAAAAGCAAAAGGCAAAGTTGGAAGTCAAACACAGAGAGGTGCACAGGAGAGAGCTGCAAATCAACAGACCAGGGGAGCCTAAGTCCCTGACAACAAGGCAAGTGCCTCATTCTTCCTGAATTTATTTTTAAAATGCTACAAAGAGAAAGAGGAAGAGAGATCCAATTTTTTTCATTTTGCAGCACAAGACATTAGTTTTTTTCTTACTAAAACAGTTACCAAAAGAAAAAAGTTATTTGAATCACTATTTTGGGACATGAGAAGTAATATTTTTACAGATTTATCTATTATTTTCATAAAAACGCACAGCTATTACTTGACACTTACTCAGTAACATTAATTTGAGAGATTTTAGACTCTACCCTTTAAGGAAAAAAAAGTATATTCTTCCCTAGCATTGTTAAGTTCAGTTGATTCTGGACACTTCTCTTTAACATAGACAAGATCTCAGCTCACAGGTCCTGTTCCACTCTTCCAAAAACATTCAGGTCACTTAAAGAATATTGTGCCGTCTGCTTTGCCACTGAATATCCAGGTTTTAGCCCCACTGCACATCTCCTCATGCTATAAGCAAATCAAGGCAACTCAGGTTCTGTCAGTCCTTAGGACAGCAGATTTTGTTCCCAAGAACGGAACTATCAAAGTCAGGTTTTGGATGCTGAACTTGCAGAAAATGGGGTTTGAAACACATCTCTATCTCTGTAAAGGTTACAAAACATCAAATGTTTGCCAAGATCAGATTCAACTGGCATCCTGCCCCTCTTCTGATTTTAAATTCTGTGGCATTACAAATGTAGAAATCAAAAAAAATCTAATATAAGGGGTCAGCATTGTATTTATCTGAGCATGGGATCACCTGTGGTTCCAAAACCTTTCCAAACACAGCAGCACTCCAGTGTCACATCAAAGCCTGTTCTGATGCCACATTCAGTGGAATTCAGAGAAAAAATGCAGTGTCTCATGACATACTTCAGTTTTCTGGTTTACTCCAGTTTTCTAGAACATCACAGCAAGCATCAAAGAACAAGGTATGTGTCCTAACAGGTCTGGCATGAGATGATCCTGAAGATTAGACAGACCAGCCAAGAAACTGGTTCTTTACAAACACAAACCAGTCACAGGTTAAGGACCAGAAAAATCAAGCTATCCAAGTGACAGAAAGACTCTGACAAACTGAATACAGGAATATTCCTACAGATTACATCTAAATTCATAACTTATAAAGTGCCAGCATATTCTTTGCAAACTGTTTGTAGATTTGAGAACAATCATTTCAGCTGAAATGACTTAGATCACAGAGTCAGGACTTGGCAATGTTTTAAGGATGAAAGAAACTAAAATGCAATCTATGATTTTGCCTTGGACTAATTGACTGGACTTCCTGAAGAGAAGGAGCAGTAAAAGGGCACCTCTGTTCAGGCCTGTCACAAAGCCAGCAATGGTGTTTACAGAAAACTTCAGACAGACCTGAGTGGTATCCAGCCAGAAAAGCCTACAGCTGTGCAGCACTGATTTGAAGGGATACTGACTGTGCAGAACAAGACTGGATTGGGGATGTGGCCCCATGGCAATGTGGTTATGGAGAGCACTTACTAACAGAATAGCAAATGTTCTCCAGGCTGGCAGCCCATGTTTTCTACACCATCCTCACTGTCTGCAGAGAATAAACAGCAAAGCAATGACTGACAGCATTGCTGTTTCCTCTACACAGGGGCAAGAACCAGGAGAATCTATTAAGTACTTGGACCTGCTCTCTTCTCTCTGCTGCCTGCTATGTAATTCCTCAAAAGGAAGATAAAAATAAAAACCTTTGCAATGTTTTTAAAGAAACTGAAATAACTTTGCCTAAATGTGTAATTGCTTAGTTTATTTTACAGAAGAATAAAATAAATGTCCTTAAGATGATGCTTCTAGAGAAAGACTACCTTCTCATTGGGACACTACAGGACATGCTAGAAACACCACAGGAATACAAATACCATCAAGTGACTCCCAGTGACAGATCAGAAGTTCTGAATCCCATTTCTAGCTTCAAATTTGCAATCTCTCTGCATAAAATCTCAATCTCAACAGCAGGTCTCAAAAACATACTATCAAATACAATCCCCTATTTTTTCACTAAATTGTCCATTATCTACTGTCACCAGTGTGAGTGAGCCAATAGAGTCAAAGGAATTAACAAGAGTTCAATTCCATAACACACCTAAAACACACACTGCACCTAATTTCACCTGCTATAAAACTGCATAAAAATTTCCAACTCATTCAGTTGAATTAGATTAGAAAACCACACCAGTGACCACTCAGCAAATGCTTTCTACAGTTCAAAAGATGGTTTCTAAGAAAATACTGTTTGAAACCAAAATCCTACTTGTGGCTAATGAGGCTGTCTGCAGTGGAGGGAAGGGTGAAGGGGGAGTCACACCATCCTACAGCCTTGTCACACTGGTGGGAGTCCCCTGGCACTACATTATTTGCCCTGGTTTTCAAAGTCACACCATGCCTATCAACTTTCAGTGCTGTGCCTGAACATGCATTAAAACGTTCCATTCTAATGAAGCAAAAAATTAATGTTTTGCAATTTAGGGTTGGGGGAAGGTTAAAGAAGGAAAAATAGGGAGGATTTTATTTCCTAAGCAGGAAAGTCTACATTAATGATTTTCCCAGCAGGCCTTCAGTAGTTTTACTGCAAACAACCACGGCCTTTGTTTCTCAGATCCTCTTACATCTGACGTTCAGTCAAAGCCCTCACATCAGCAGCTCACCAAGGGATAAAAAAAAAAAAAAAAAAATAAAGTGAACCAGTACTGTGTTCCAGAGCTGTCCTCAGAGCTGGTCCAGCAGGGAAGCACACTGACCACTCTGCACAACTGCTCACTCAGACATACCCTCAACAGCTCCTCTCATTTCATGAGTGGAAGAGAAAACGGCTTAAGCAAAAGTGGTTTCATCTGCCACATGGAATCAGCAAGCCGCCTAATCTGCCTTGTTTCATTC